TAACAACTACTCCATTTTACAGGGTGATCCATCCATCGGTTCCCTTTTTTTCTGACCACCCAATCATCTCATACCACCGACCACCCAATCTACATACACGTCTTGTTCACAGCTTCCTTGACTGCACTCGGCAATCATCCCCACCAGGCACCTTCCCCTGCAGCAGAACCCGCTGCATCACCTGCCAATACATATCTAAAAAACATGCTCATTCAGCGCCCCACAGGTCAATTCTGGATCACCCAGATGACATCCTGTACCTCCAGCAACCTCATTTACTGTATCTCCTGCAATAGTTTTATGTAATCTTCTCTATTCTCATGCAGGTTTTGACTTCACACCTTTCTTCACCCCTCTCCACTTTGCACTTCCTGAGTGGCCTCTCTGCCCCTCCTGCCTCCTTCTCTCTTCCAGCTTTTGTTCTTCTGTGCCATTTAAGCTTTGCTGTCTTCCCTGTCTTTCTCACACCTGAAGAAGGCTTCACAGCTGAAACTTTTGTGTTTTCTCTCTTCTCTTTTCAGCATGGAATAAACCTATTATTTGTTTCTTTGCCTATTTAAAATGGTATGGCTGGCAGTGTTGTACATGCCATCCTGTTCTGTTGAAAAGAATACTTACATCTCATTCTTTAATAATGCAAATAAATGGGGATGAATGTTACAAATGCCCTGGGATTAGTGATCACCTATCAGCATTGCCTGTAAATTATACGTCAGGCATTGTTAAGGCTAAACAGTCAGTGGCTTTGATGTCAAGTGAAAGGGCAGGTCACCTTCTTTGGTATTTAGAAGACATTAAATATTTTTCACGGAGAAAAGGAATCGGCCAAAGTCAAGTTTAAAAAACATTGCACGCCGAAACAATAAAAGCAGCAAACGCAGAACGCTGTTGATTTGTCACGTTTTCAGGATCTGCGTCACTCAGGAGATTTATTGCCTTTGGGCTTCATTGAGGATTTGAGTGCTGTCAGCAGCGTGGCAGTGAATGTACAACATATATTATTGTATGACCCATTCATCATGATAATAGATGTGACAGTATTTGCATTATGTAAACAGTAGCCATCTCCACAGAACACAGTACCTGGACTTGTAAGGTTCACATAGTAAATCACAATTACAAAAAACAAGCCTGGCTTTTTTTGTTACTGCTGGAGAAAAGGAAGGAGAAATTCAGATTTGTTTGGATCTCCTAATATTAATAGTTTATTTCTCACAGTTGCTTCAGAAAGTTTGGATTGACAGAGTAATTACTGTGTGTGATGTGGCACGTTGTAGGTTGTGGGAGATGTGGTATTTTGAATAGAATATTATCCTGAGCTTCTGTGGTTCTCTACTCATGAAGAAACAAGAAATAAGCTTAATCATTTTTTTAGATATGTTGATGCAGTTAGGAATCATGGTTTAGATACCTCAATGCAGTAAATTTGTTGTAGAATTGGCAACCATTAATTTAAAGTGAGCTCATTTAATTACACAAATCACAATCGGTTATGCTGTTGCTCATTTTAATGTACATTTATATGCATATATATGCACACACTAGATCAACGTGCAACCTTGAAAACATAGGTCTAATTTATAAGCAGGCTCGCTTTAAACTGCAAATCCAGAGGAGGAAGGAGGGTTTTGTTTCTCTCCCTCTTTCTGTCTCTTCCAGCCCCCCTCCCCCATCTCCATCAAACCAGCTGAAAGCAGTTTCATTCAGCTCTGCTGATGTATTGTATATACTGCATTGTAATATTTACAAGCCCAGAGTACAAGTGAAACACAGGCCTGCCTCATACATATTTCTTGAACCATCACTTTCAATAGCTCTTAACTTGACCTCAGATCTTCAGAGTTGGAACAGGAAATTAACTTTCTTTATTTTTTTCAGCCACCAATTGTTTTGCATGGCTTGCAGTCTTGTGCATGTGCATTTACACAAGTGCATGTTTATTTATTTTTTTACATTTCCTGGTCATGCATAAATTGGAAGGTGGGATTGTCGTTTGAGTATAAAAATGTCTGTATTTCTTGTTTGAAGCAGACCGTAGTGCTTGCCAGCAGCTGTGTTAAGATGACATGATCCTGAAGTTTATTCAAGGCAAGAGCCAACAAAGCAAAAAGCACAGTAGGTGGAGGTAGGCCTGAGATTCAGCAGTCTCAGATTTGAGATGCAGTGAAGGCTTTTGGAATTGAATAAATTTGTAGCTTTGTGCCAAAGTGTGTTTCCTTTATTGCAGTTGTATTCTTCATTGCAGTTCGTCAGGTCTCCTGGCGGGGCAGGTCTGTTCTTATCCTGGTGTCTAGGTATTGCATTTAGACTGTGAAATTGTATCACCAATAGTGATAAAAAAGGAAAGATTTATAGAAAGAAGTATTGTAACAAAAGGGGAAAGAACTTTTTAAAAATGGAAAGCATATTTTATCATGATGATAAGAGAGAGAAATAGAAACATGTTCAGCATCAAAAGAAAGGTCATTTCTAACTGCAACAAGGTTGTGTCCAACCCTGTTATAGAACATAGACAAGTATGGACCTGTTCATCTAGGGTGACATGTTGTCCCAGCTTATAAATGTTCAGTGGGGTCTAGTCCGCATAACAGCACAGCCATTACTTACTTATTTTACAAGAAAGCTGTTGATAAACAAGCAGCGATAACGGATAGAATATTGTCCTATCGTGATGTGCAGTCACTGTCAATGGAGTTGTATAGTGACTAGGGAGGTCAGGGTAAGCCTTTAAGAAGGGCAGCAGGTGAGGTCCCAGGATTTGATCACGGTAGAGCTGTGCAGTCGTTTTGCCATCAGTCTCAAGAAGTGGAGTGTTGATGCTGCTCAACTCTCTTGCCTAGATCATCCCACTCAGGCCTCGCCAGCCACTGGTCTGTAGTTAAATACAGGCAGCTTATCGTTTGGCATGTCTGTGCCACTCCTGCTGGCCTCCATCAGGAAACCTTGACTCATCACTGAAGAGGACTTATCACCTGAACTGTGCATTGTTCTCTGGATAAGCAAAGCATATTGCTTCCTTTATGTATTTTTCTTATTTAAATTTCACCAGACCTGGCATTCAGTAGATTAAATCATCTGTACATAACCAGCTCTTTCAGTAACGAAGTAAGTTAAAGTTTACCAAAGTCACTTGAGTGACTTGAGGCTGGATTTGGAAAGCTGTTCGGGTCATACCAGACTAGGATAACAGCCACTTTGATTAAAGTAAAATTCCCTCTCCTGAGGAAAAAAAAGGTTAAATTCTTTTAGATTAAAGAATTTCATTAATGCTAACTAGATCCACAAAGGATCAAAGTAAAAATGAAATTATTTACTTTGAAATCTCCATATTTCAGATTTTTACTCCCCTAGAAATAAACTTTAATAAAGATAAACCTGATTCTGTTGTGATCACATGCAATTCAGTGCATTCAGCTGTTTTAATCAGTGGTGGGAAGGTTGCCTGTTGTGTTGTTTCTTTGAGCAGTCTATTGACTTGATTAGAACGGAAAGATTTCAGTGTACGTCCCTGAACCACTGAGTGGACTCTTCCTGGAACATGAAGAAGCTTTTGCACATCTGAAGCTTACAATTCCCTGTGTTACAGAAGAGAAAATTATTTTGAGTTTCTTAGTTTTTACTCCCAAGTGTAGCGTTTGGCTTTTCTGTAGTATTCTTTTGCTGTAATTGAAATTTAACATTAAAACATAGTAAAGACAAAACATCATGGCGATTATACAGGAAAAGCTGCACAAATCTTTTTACCATGACAGCCAATTAACTGGACTTTTTTGTTAACATGAATGAAGATCAGTGTCTAAACTCACAGAAACAGGAGGCGTAACAGCTTTTTTTTTCTGAAATCTTTTATTCCTCCTGGGCAGAAATCAAGCTAGGTCGTGCAGAACTTCCTTGTAATCCAAGTTTATTCAGCGTTTCAGTTTTGCTCCGACTCATTTCTTGCAGTAAGCGTTTTAATTCATAATTACCATTTAATGTTTAACAATCAAGGTTCCAGCTGTGTTGAAGGACTGCTCTGTAGTGGAATGAGAGGATTCCATGTCAAACAGTCCTGCTGCAATACTGCATCGAACATTTATATTTGCTTTTTTTCTTGCTTCAGTTATTTTTGTCTTGTACCAAGGTAGGAAACGTGTCTATATTCCCTAGTAAATAAGTGAGTATAAGGAATTTAACTTAGTTTCAGCACTTAAACTGTTAAATGTTCTGCGAGCAATACAACCTTGGTTCCCTAGTGTCATTTCTATTGAAACTGGGCCTAGATACAGTGTGAAAGGCAGAAATGTGTTTCTCAGCAGAGTCTGAAGCCTGTGCAGGAGGGTGTGCAAGAGCAGCCTGTGTTGATAAATATCACAGCTGACTCTTTTCGTGTGGAATAAGGATGTGATGTCAGCAACCACAGCAGCCAGCAGTGATAGCTTTGTTTTGCTCACTCTTGTTTCTGCTGGCCAATGCTGCACAGTGCAATAATTAATTTAACAACTTATTTTAAGTGGCCTGTTATTTAATAAAAAGATTTCTCTCTTCCTTTTTTTCCCTTTTAAAAGTGCTTGTGGCAAAAACATTGCTGTTAAAAATAACTGAAGTGTTCATTGCTGAGTCTGTTTTCCGTCAAATTAATACCCTTGCTTTGAGACTGACAATATTTCTACTGCCTAGAGATACTTTGTATAGAAAGTCTTTAACGTATTTTGAAGATGGATAAATCTCTTTTATGGAGAGGCTGAAATTCTCCTCTCAGCTTTTGCTGACATTTCACAGTGAGAAATATTTCTGTATTTCAGAATAAGAACTTGTAAGTGGAAACCATAAACCATTGTAATTAAATAACAGATCTAGACAAATATTGATCTCAATCAGCTGGAGAGAGAGTCATGAATATTCTTCTCGAGTTCATATTTTTAACTTCCTGAAGATTGTAAAAAGATGACTGTTGAAGTTAGTGATGTGCTGTTTCCTAATTTTTTTGCCTTATTCTTTCATTCTCTTTCCTTTAATAGAAAGCAGTCAACACAGGAGGACCAGACAAGCACACTTTATTAAGCCACTGAGGCTAGAAAAAAGACTCTTTTGTGAGAAAATTAATTGATTTCTGCTGGTATAAAATAAAACTGGAAACGACTGGACTCAAGAGACAGCAGAAAAGTTTCAATTTAGACACAGAGAATCTGTGCTTGGCAATGCCTCAGGTAAGGGGCCGGAGTTGGGAGAGCACAGATCTCGCTGTATTTGGCTCTGAAACTTACACATACTTATCTTTTCATCTACAATTTTGGTTTTCATTTGATCTTCCAGGCTAGCTTAATTTTACAGCTGGAACACTAGCATAGTTTTCAGATCAGTATTGAATTTGTATGAACACAAGCTTTTCCTCAGGTTATTTTATAACAAACAGTAAATTCACTTATTTTTAATGGTGTCAGAAGCTAATTTGGCTGGGAACACACACTGCCTTCCAATTTATTCATACCCCTGATGAAATAGGAATGAAAACATCATAAAATGGAAAGAAAGTAAAGTTATACTTTAATCTTCATATCATTGCACAGGGCAAAGACAGAAAACACAAGGATCACATTATTTCACACCTCTGTAGTGAGAGTTTTGTAAATCTTCCTGTTGCAGGGGTTGCCCTGATAAGGCACCTCCTGTAATGTTCTGTGAGGTTTGGGAACTTCCGAATGGTAACATTTAACCTTCCCACATATCGATTAGTGAATTCTTAACTTAACTTAACAAACCACAAATGTTTGTTGGACTGATGTCTGGATGTTGAGATGGTCAGACAAAAACATTGATTTTGTGAGCAGTTAACCATTTCTTTGTTGATTTGGATATTTGGATTATTGTCATGCTATTGAAAATGCAATTTTCGGCCCAGCTTGAACTTCATGGATGAATGAACCAGGTGTCTGGCCAAAAGGTTCTGGTATGTGTTGGAGTTACCAGTATAATAGTAGCCTCAATTTTTTTCATAATGGACATTGCAGTGGAAAGCAAATTCTTTTATAGCTGTTCAGGTGGGTAGCTGCATCAGCATGCGTAGGCTGCAAAGGAACAAGTAATAGGTTAATTCCATGCTGAAAAGAGAAGAAAGTAAACACAACCTTTCGGCTGTGGAGCCTTCTTCTGGTTTAAGCAAAACCTGAAGAAGGCTCCAAAGCCACAACATTGTGTTTACTTTCTTCTCTTTTCAGCATGGAATTAACCTATTACTTGCTCCTTTATAGCTATCCCCCAACTCCTGAAAGCTCTCTGAATGATGTCCGTGTGTTACCTTTTTTTACACACCAGGGAAATAGGAGACCTTAAGATCTACAGTAGTTCCAAAGAGCTGTTCATAAGAAATGCTGTCATAGATATTTGTTGGATTTTATGTGAAAGAATATTTAGAGGTGTGAATAAAGGTGACGCTTATGTTTTGTGAAATTCAATTAAATATGACAAATACACAGGGCTCTCTGCAGTGCAATTATGATTGTAGTTTAATAGTTTTTGTTGTTTAAAGAAGGACCCATTATGAAATCCAGAACTCTTTCTGTTGTACACTGGTTTCTGTTTCATCAGTGGAATAAATACATCTGGAGGGCATTTTATTCAGTATGTGTCGTGTTTTGTCTGAAGACATTGACCAGGAGGTATCAAAACCTAGTGAAATTGTAAAATCTGAATACAATATCATAGGATATTGTAATACTAGAAGCAGTGCTTATATTCTAGTTTTTTTTAGTTTATAGAATGGAAATTCTTATTAAATTGGATGTCACCAAGGCAATAACGTATTAAATTAAAGACATTTGTGGGTACTCTTAAACTAAAATGCTTAATGGCAATGAGAGAGAGGAATTAGGGGTTGATTTCTATTTTTCAGGGGTTATTTTAGGGATTAATGACAGAATGAAGTAGAGCAGTCTGTGGACTAATAAAACAGAGGCAGCAGACTAGCCAGAGGTTTGGATGGAAATGACGTCTGGCTTCCAGACTGCATACCATGTCAAGCTTGGATTGCCAAGCACCCAACTCAAATAAATACGAAAGCATCTGAAGCATTTATTTCCTCTCCATTTTTTTTTGTTTCTTTGTCAGCTTGTATTTAATAGAAAAGCTCAAATTAATGAGTTTCAAGCATGTGCTGTCCTCTGCAGCAGTGGTGATGGAAGAGTAGGGGAAATGTGCTCCAACCACTGGGGTTAATTGGACCGTCAGCTCAAAGCTTGGGTGGTTATTGAGATGGGGAAAGATCTCCCGTTTCTTTTTCTAAAAGAAAATATTGACAGTCTTGCTTTCTGTTGCTCCATGTGTATAAGTGTGTCACTAGGTTCTTATGTCGAGATGATCACGGAAGCAGATAAGTTAAAAAAGTAGGGATGGTGAGCCCATACTCATAAAACAGTGCACATTTAGCTTGGAAGTTGCTCAAAGTCATACATCGGCATATTAGTTAACCTGCTTTCAGGGTTGATTAATGAAGTACATCTTGGGTAGTGTGGAACAAATTTGACTTTTTATATATATATTCACAAAAGATTTCCTTAAAAATAATAATAATAATTAACAATAATTGCTTACACTTATATAGCGCTTTTCTGGACACTCCACTCAAAGCGCTTTACAGGTAATGGGGACTCCCCTCCACCACCACCAATGTGCAGCATCCACCTGGATGATGCGACGGCAGCCATAGTGCGCCAGAACGCTCACCGCACGTCAGCTATCAGTGGGGAGGAGAGTAGAGTAATGAAGCCGGTTCATAGGGGGGGATTATTAGGAGGCCATGATTGGTAAGGGCCAATGGGAAATTTGGCCAGGATGCCGGGGTTTAAATACAGAGCTGCTCTGAGCTGATTTTGTGTTTCTTGATTGTATCATGTAGCCATGTATGAATTAAGAACTGACCTTATTTTCCTTTCCTAGCCAAGCATAAGTGGAATGGATCCTCCTTTCGGGGATGCCTTTCAGAACCACACTTTTGCTGACCAGGCACTGACCAGCACAGACCTATTGGCAAGCAGCTCCGATCCTGACTTTATGTACGAACTGGTAAGATCAGAACCGTTGGTTATTTTTTTGTCTAGTAAGTATGTGAGATGCTTCCCCTCTTGGTTAGACAGTGTCTGATTCCCGCCATAGGCAGGTCTTTTACGATTCATACTGGCAGTTATTCCATGTGTGTTTGAAAGAAGGATAATTTGCTGTGGCAGCTGCCTACTTTGTCTTTAACTTAGACAGTGGGTTTACAGCTCTCTGTTCGTTTTTTGTCTGCTGCTTCTTCTCCTTTCCATTGGACATTTTAAAGACCCAGCCTTATGGTGAACACATCATTAATTGTCAGACAAAAGCAAACCCTTTGCTCTTTGTGTACAGATCAGTAATGGGATGTGAAATCTCCACATTCCAAAATTTAGATGGGTAAACATCAAAACAGCAAGAAGGTTATTTGTGTTGAAAATCCTGGGAAAAGGAAATGGTAGCTGAAGAAGAGACATTTTGGCTTTATATGCCTGAAGTGTCCTGGAACCCTGGACGTGTAGTAGTACCATATATGATGTAGGTGAGATGTATACAGTGTTAAAAATGTATATTTATTTGACTGATACTTCTATCCAAAGTGACTTACATATGTACCCATCTACACAGCTGTATATGTTGCTGGAGCAATGCAGGTGAGGCACTTCACTCAAGAGTACTTCAAGCCCACAATTGTTCAATGAGTTCAGAGCCCATAACTACTGTTCCACATTGCTGTGGTCAAATATTATATATCCCCAGTTTAGCCTCAGATGGTGATAAAGTGAGTTTGGTAGCTATGAGCACCTCATTGGACATGAACATAATGTTATTGACACGTTAAATAGCGTGCTGGTGGAGGCTGCATTGAGTTGAATTGTGCTTTTCAAGGGTAACGTTGACAGCTGGAAGACCACATTGCCATCTTCTGTTGGCCATACATCAAGTGATATGGCATCCAATTGCATGATGGAGTGTTTTGTTCAACGATCAATTACTTTTTACCTTTGCTGATTGTGACAAATTCCCTTTTATATGGAGATATGAACATTATGCTGACATTTGCTGGCTTCAGACCAGCCATTGTGGTTATAGATGTGAGGGAGGAGTCTTTCTTGTTAAACCCAAGAATTCCTTTGTGGTGGATCAAGGGAAGCCTTACGATAAAGTTAATGTGAGCTGAATATTATGATTTGTCTTTCTGATGTCAATGTCTCACTTTGGAATTCTGGAGACAAGATTTTTTCCATTCCTGTATTCAGCGATTTCTGAGCTAGACAATACACGTCCATGCAGTGCCAGGACTACAAAGGCACAACTGCAACCAGACAACATCAGTCTTTCTGTAGCTTCCATTTCCTCCTGACCAAGATAGTAACTACCTCACCAGTTCTGTCACTAAGAGGTGGCTGCAGCACATCAGAATTCACCATCTGGCTGCATCCCCCCTGGAAAAGTGGTGGAATGTCCCATAGGAATCGGCCCCAGGCTGATCAGATCTGCACACCTAGAGTGTTACCAGTTACCATTACCATTTCTTAAAGGGATTTGGTACATACTGTTACAAGAAAATGTTAATCCTTGTTCTGCTCACAAGAAATATGTGAATTAGTAAAGCTGAGTTAGTTGATAGCTATAATCACCATTAAGAATACATTCTTGATATTGATATACAGTAGTTAATAGTCCAAACAGAAATAGTTTAGACTATTTAAATTGTACTGTGCTATCTGTTGATTGCAAAGAGATTTCAGAAGACAGAGTAAACTTAGAGGGACAGAATTTTAGTACATTATGACACTTTTAAATAAAAGTACAATAATTTTATAATCAATTCCACAAAGTACTGGCATTCGAAGAAGCTATGCAAACACAGGATATGTGCCCTGCTTTTGTCTTTCACATCATCCTAGAGGCTGAATTCTGCATGAGCTGCAAGGATTTAGCATTACTTGCAAGACCAGCAAATAATATTATAGAAGCAGCAAGTATTTTCTCAACAAATGATCTAATTTTAGCAATGGGATGCAGATAATAATATAAGGAATAATAAAAGGAATAGTTTAGTTTACATGTCTTTCATGTATGATTCAATGCACTGTTAAGAATCAAAGACTATGTCCAGATTCACTTCCAATTTAACACAAGGTAAAAAAACAACAAATCTAATTCTGTCAGTTCTCTTTGTTGCTGAGTATAGCTTGATTGAACTGCAAAGCAAGTGCAGAAATCCAGCTCCTAATATCCCCTATTAAGTTTATACTCCAGTACCAATAGAGCTCCCTTTTGAGGATATGGTTGTGATACATCTGCATAGCTGTTTCAATTCATATCCATCCATTTTCAAACGGCTTCATCCAATTCAGGGTTGCTGGGGAGTTGAAGCCTATCCCAGAAACACAGCCAGGACGGGACGCCCATCGCAGGGTACACACACGCACTTACCCAAGACCAATTTTCTCAAAAGCCAATTGACCTATAGTATGTCTTTGAACTATGGGAGGAAACTGGAGGACCAAGTGAAATGGTGAGGGGAACATACAAACTGCACACAGATAGCCCCCCAAGTCTGGAATTGCACCCCGGGCCCAGCACTGCGAGGCAGCAGTGCTTACTACTGTGCCTCCCTTCAAATAAGCTTGCCTATCATGGGAATTTAAAATAAAGAGCCTAAGACAGGGCCCTGCAGAACACCGCATGTTATTCTTTACCAGTCCAGATGCAGATTCACTAAACGTGACAAAATATTGCCTGTTTGATAATTGTAAGCTAACATGTATGAACATGTCCTGAAAGTCTGACCATTTCTCTAAGATTATTAATTAAGATGTCAAAATGTCTTTGTTCATGATATTAAAAGCAATGGTTAATTTTACAAGGATCAAAACAGATACGCAATTAGTAAATTAACCTCATAAGTAGGTCATTTTACTACTTTACGCCAAATCACTTCAATGCACACTGAAACAAAATGAAAACCTGTTTCAAATTTTTCCAAGATGTTATTACCATCAGCAGAACCTTATGTGTCTGAATGATACCTTCACAGAACCTTAAATAAAAATGGAAGTTATAAAATAAGTCTGAAGTTCCCTACAAAAGACCTAAGCGATATTTTTTGAGCAGGGTCTTAAGATCGGTGGTTTTAAAAGCATCTGGAGTGACAGAGTACTATTTACTGAAGCAAGAATATCATTACACACATTGCTGAACACCACCCTCAGAAGTCTTGATGGTTTTGGATCAAGAGAACAAATAGCAGTTTGTTTGCAGTAATAGCAGTTTGACTACTGTATTTTCTTGTACATTAATCAAAGAGTTTGAGTTTGTTTGCAACTTCAGCCAGTGTTTCTTGAAATCTTCTCACGAATCCAACTTTGTTTAGAAAATAGTGAAGGAATAAATGAACTACAGTAACAGTTTTGAGTTTGTGAAGGGCTATTTGAAGTCAGCTGGGGTTTTTGTTCCTTTTCTCCTGAACGTAGAGAAAAAAAGCATATCTTATTAACCTTCAGTGATGCAGCTCTTGAGTATTATCAGTTTAAAGCACTGAATGGCGTGACACCAGATTATCGAACCAAAATGCTCACTTTATATTGGCCAGAGTGTACATTAGTGTCTGCTGATGCTGGCTTGCCCTGTGTTCCAAGGGTGAAACGCAAAAGGAAGGGAGAGGCTGCTTCTTGTTAAAATGCCTCCAGACTTTGGAACTTTTTACTCCCTTTTATTAGAGATTTAAATTCAAATGGAATTTATAAATCACATTTATTTTCAAAAAAGCAGTCATAAATCATATTAACATTTCCTTAATGGAGTATCTTTTTAATATAAATCATTTTCGTCTTTTGATTTTTATTGTGTTGCTGAGCTTTGTATAAATCTGTCACACTTTGTTTTAGATCTGCTTCAGCATCAAAAGGTGCTGTATGCCTTTTCTGTTTATCGCCACTACTGTTAGTGCTACCAGGATTGTGTTATGGTCAGTAAGGTCCTATACTATGTTCACTTTGTAATGTTTCCATCTTAACAGTCTGTTGCATTTCATACTTAAGGCTTGCAATGAGTCTTTAAGCTCTAATTTTATTTCCATTTACTCTGATTATTTGATATTGATCTTTAAAGAATTTGAATAAATCTATTAGATTTAAGAGTGGTTTCTATTGTACATCAGTATATAAGAACAAAACCACAAAGAGTGGTTTCTTTTTTACATCAGTATATAAGAACAAAACCACAAACAGTATCATGTATAATATTTATTCCGTATGGTAAATATAGTGAACGAGTAGGCATTTAAGTTTACATTCTTTTCCACTTTAAAGATACCATTTGATGAGGTATTTGGATAATCTCTGAGAACAAAAAGCCTCCTCCTGAATGTAAATGCTTCACTATTGTCAGTTATAGCCTTGTTTTATTATTTATGCCTGACTGATACAAATGGAATATTTTCTTTTGCCTCTCAAGGACAGAGACATGACTTGCAGGCAAAGTCCAAGAGGTGACATCTTTACCGTGGGTGACTGCAAAGAGATTGAGGGCATGGACCACCTTGCAGAGGTCCTGGACAGCGATCCTATTTACAGCTCGAACTTTGAGCAGTGGGATACGTACTGGGAGGACTTAACCAAGTATACTAAGCTCACCAGCTGTGACATCTGGGGGACGAAAGAGGTGGATTTCTTGGGGTTGGATGATTTCTCCAGCCCCTACCAGGATGAGGAGGTGATTGGGAAGACGCCCACCTTGGCACAGCTGAACAGCGAAGATTCGCAGCCCGTGTGCGACCCCCTCTACCACCCTGACCTACTTGTGAGCCAGAAGCCACACACTCTCAATCCTTCCGTTAATGCGAAGAAAACCCCTTGCCGCTTGACGGCCTCGAGTTCGACCTCGGTGAGGAACCTGCTGCCAGATTACGCGGATGGCTCCCAGAAGGCCACCAGGCCTGTGCCTTCCAGCACGGAGACCATCTCCAAGACTCAGACACAGAGCTCCAAGATGATATCCTTTCCCTCGGACTCCAAGGACTACGTCCGGAAAGCGAAGGTCAGGATTAACGCGGCTCCGCGCAGACCAATAATGGACGCAGCTCCCTCGCAGGCAAACATAACCCTTGAGTCCTCATTTGTCGAGAACCGTGCTGCAGTCACTATCGCTGTTACTGCTTCAGTGGTGTCATCCACTACCATTGCAAGGGAGAAGAAAGTGGAAAAGCCCAAGGTGGAGGTGGCCCCCATTCCAGAGAATGGTAGCTCCCAAGGGACTTCTCGTGAACTGTTTCCTGTGCCTGGAGGAAGTCAGGAGCTGTACCCAGTCAGCACTCTGGGGCCTGAGCCCTCACAGAAGAAAGAGGAAGAGCACAACTATTCGCTGTTTGTCACAGAGGTCAAACCACCAGCGAGAGTGGAGCCGGAGATGGAGGAGGAGGAAGATGAGGATGAAGCAGACGAGCCGGATTTGGAGGACGAGGACCATGATGAAGGCTTCGGCAGTGAACATGAGCTCTCCGAGAATGAGGAGGAGGAAGAGGAGGAGGAGGAGGAGGAGGAAGAAGACTATGAAGATGATAAAGATGATGACATGAGTGATACCTTCTCTGAGCCAGGTAGAGACTCTGCATTTTAATCAACTAATTACCTTTTAACTAAATTTGTAGCTTTTTGTGCTGTGCCTCTTCTCAGAGTACTTTGTGAAAAGGACAAATTCTAATATGACTAAGCAAAATTAAAATACAAGAGAGTCAGTACCACTGTGCCCTCAGCAAGAAGAATTTATTGACACATTATCATCTGTTTAATATAGTAAAGCAGTCCTATGGAAACAGCATATCATAGCTAGATCATTCATGGAATAATTTGATGGACTGGAATCTATAATCTGTGTTGTTTGTGTTGGTAATACTTATTTATGCAAAAACTGTTGAAGTTGCTTTTTTGTAGAGAGGGCAGGATTTTATTTATTTTTTAATTTGCAAGGTTATTTAAAAATAGAAAAACAAATGCATCCAAAAGTTGAGATGCACAATTGATTTGGCAAATACTTTCATTCTAATGTAACTTTTTAAGTCACAAGATAACATTTATAGTTCCTTTTTTTCTGTTCTATGCTTCTCTACTTAAAACAAATGATGGAACTGGAGATAAAGAAATAACTTGAAGTTGTATGCCTCTCTTGCCAGCGATTTTAAAATAACAAAAGCTGTATGTAGCTATCTCTCTGGAATATCAGCTTTACCATTAGTTTTAAGTGTCTTGATTCGTTAAACATTTTAGTTTAAAGAGAATGATTGGAGTCTGCCCAAGTGTGGGAATGTTTAGCTTATGATAGAACTTTTTTTCTGTTGGTAGAGGAAGACTTATACAAAGAACAACCGTCTGTCCAGCAGAGATAATGGAATGGATGATTGAGTCATTTGGCTATTTGACCGTTGTTAGACTTAGCAGAGAATGGCAATTTTTCAGACTGATCTGAGCCATACAGAAAGCTAAGATTTAAAATTGTTTTCATGCATTGTTCTATTGGGTATTTTTGGCTGTATTTAATGATCTCTAAAATACGCAGAATAAATGTAAATGTACTTCTCGTATTCTGTTGCTTATAGCTCTCGAATAACACACTGTGTGAAATTAGCTGTGTTCACACAGTCATGCTGAATGGATTCCCTAAATTGGGCCAGATTTTTTCCATCTGGGTGTGCCATATATGGCATTGCATGTCTGTCTCTGCCATTTGATTTTTTTTCCTTTTTTATTTAGTAAAGAAGGAAAATGGAGCTATTACATATATCACTTTGCCTGCTGAAATGCCAGCCAATTCTTACTCGGCACTTTGTGGGTTCTTTCTATAGCAATTAAAAAAGGAGGCAACTGTCTTTTTAAAAATCAGGTGTGTTATATTCTGGTGATTGTACCTTTTTAAAGGTATGAACTTGAAACTCTGCTTTACTTCTGCATTGCTATTCAGTTACAAGCTAATGTTTATGCATATTTGGCATCTTTCAAATGCATTCCATCTTGAGGTGTGATTTATTTTTCCTGAGTGAGTTACCTCAAAAATAAAAAGCAATCTGAAAAATGATCTCTGTTTGACAGATAGAAACCTATTTACCTGCAGGACAGAGATTTTGCAAAACATTCCTTTAGCTGGGATAGTGAATGCTGGTTGTGTGGATAGCACTAAAGCACAGGCAGAAGAAAGCCTGAGGGTCTCAAAATAGAGTGAACCTTTGTTTCCCCCTTGAAACAACAAAACAATTCTCCTTTGTAAATTAAAGGCTAATTTAATCTGGCTGATAACCAGCAACTAAAAACAGATCTTTGGAGCCCTTTACAAAGAGTTTTCAAAACTCACTACAAAGGACTTTCAGAAAACCATGTTAGCGAAATGAGGGCATTTTAGCGGGACCTAACTGATCTGTCAGCTGACTCCAAAAAGTAGAATAGTGAATTATCCTACACTGCATAGCAACACTATTTCACTACAGCCCACAAATTCTTACCTCACTGCCAGCATTGAAAATGAGATCTTTGCTTGGCTGTGTGACGTGATGGAGGCCCTGTTGTTCTCCAGGCTGCGATAATGACCCCGTGGAGGAAGTGAAGGGGGTGACAGCGGGTTTCTCCAGGAAGAGGGGCAAACGGAGGTACTTCTGGGAGTACAGTGAGCAGCTCACCCCTTCCAAGCAGGAGCGCATGCTGAAGCCCTCCGAGTGGGACAGGGACACGCTCCCCAGCAACATGTACCAGAAGAACGGCCTTCACCACGGTGAGAATCGGCTCCGTGCTCCGCGCGCCCTGACGAGGGACCCGGGTCGCTACAGTTCCCGCGCTCATGCCGCCCTCGCTGCTCTTGTCGTGCAAACAGGAAAGTACACGGTGAAGAAGTCCCGTCGCACCGACGTGGAGGACCTCACTCCTAACCCCAGGAAGCTGCTGCAGATTGGGAACGAGCTTCGCAAGCTCAACAAGGTGATCAGTGACCTGACCCCCGTGAGCGAGCTGCCGCTGACGGCCAGGCCTCGGTCCCGCAAGGAGAAGAACAAGCTGGCCTCCAGGTACCATCTCCTGTCGTTCGGTGCTCCCCCATCCGCATTTGGAAAGTCAGGAGGTGTAGCTGCTGGATGTGCTTGTGTTGAGCAGCTCTTGCTCAGATTGCTTTAGACTTTCATTGTCGTCGCTGAGATTCAGCAGCATACGATGATGCTTATGGCGGCATGTACAGATATCAGCAGGATCCACCGATGCACGCGGTATTAGTGTCTGCTGATGCTAGCTTGCCTTGTGTTCCGAAGGCGAAGCGCAGAAGGAAGGGAGAGGCTGCAGGTTGGAAAGGGGAATCGGGGTTGATCATGATATCAGAGGACCCCAGTTGGCTTCTCCTCATTTATCGGTTTATCTTAACAGCTGTCTTTCGGCCCTCTCTGTTTAGTTACAGTAACCTGTTAGTGTAACAGTTATTTACTAACCAGTCAAAAGTGGTTTATGTTTTGAGGAATAGTGGTTAACTAATTATGGATAGTGACCCCTAGCCTGCTACCTTATTAACTAAATTATCATTTCTAATCTCCTTTAGGGCATGCCGACTGAAGAAGAAGGCACAATATGAGGCCAATAAAGTCAAGCTTTGGGGTCTCAATACAGAATATGGTAAGGAGAAATAAATTATTTTATGGACTTAATTTATTTTAAGACCTTATGTGCAGAACTGTGCACATTATGTGTGTATTTCAAATGTCATTGCCTTATATTTGTTTTTAAGGTCACTGCAAAAATAACACTAGCATTAACGCAACTGTTTCCTGTTCCTGTTTATTTCTGAGATATAATTACTTTTTTAAAATCTGAAGATGTTTATGTGGAGCAGGGACACAGCTAGGCAAATATCAAGCTAATCAGAAACAGAAAAGGGCAAACGATAAAAAACTTTTCTTTTTTTTTTTGTTCTCGGAAACAGATCGTCTCCTCTTTGTGATTAACGCCATTAAAGAAGAGATTGTCAACAGGGTGCAGAGCCTGAAAGAGGACAAGGGAACAAGCATGAGTGAAAAACTAGACAGACTCATCAAAGAAACTCTTGGTAAGAAATCTGTTGGTGTGCTGGCAGAATAGGCCCTGTTGGAGTACAAAATCAATCTTTTCAATTATCATCTGTTGCTTTTTGCATTGCAGTTGTAGCTTAAAAAAAGCTTTTATTTCTAGTGCACCTGAATATTAGTACAGTACAGCGACATCTTGGATGTAATATTAAAGGCCTACAAGGTGTTCTTCACCTAGTGAATACAGCTTATGTTCTTTTACAGGTGCAAAGATCCTCTCCTTTTAAGACCTTAATGTGTTTTGTCTTAATGTATTTAATCCTGCGCTGTCATCGTAACCAGTACTTTAACTTTCCCAGTGAGGTCTCCTGTCGCCGGCCAGACGTCCGAGTTTGTGAACCAGATCCTGGAGAACACAGCTGGGGGGGACCCCACAGGAGGCCTCGTGGGGCTCCGCGTGCCAACGTCTAAGGTGTAGCCAGCCTGTACAGGGCAGGGAGGAAAGCCCAGATCAGGCAGAAACGTCCACACCTTTTGTGTCACACACTGTAACACCGTTACGTTTTGCATGTTAATTTCCATCAAGGAACACATCTACAGGCTTACTATATTGATATTTATATATTCTGAAGTGAACAAATCAACAATACAGCATACAGGATCTCTGCATAATTTGTGTTTTACACCTGCCGTCTGTGAACGTGGCTAGCAAATGCCATCTAGGTTCCACCGGTCACATGTTCCAACACCAGTAGGCAAGGAGAACAGGAAAAATACCTGCTGCTAGTTTATACCACCAAACAACAACAAACAGGCAATCAGCAGCGATTAGTATAGGCGTTTACTGTGGTATTAACAGAACTACTGCGGCAACGCCCAATTTAACAACCATTAAAAAAACCAAAAGCTCTCCATGCTCAAGAAATGCACTTTGTGCATATAGAAGGAGCATCAATTTTTATAGCTGGTTGAGATCAGCTTAATGTGGATGCAGGGTGTGCAATGCGTATTGAAAAGGAAAATGTTGGGATGTTCTGGAGTTATCTGGAGTAGAGTTTAATGTGCTCTGATTCTTCCCAGAGAGTTCTGGTGCTGTAAGATTCCATTATCCCCTTTCTTTGCTAGCGTAGCGCAGTTTCCAAAGGCCTGGAGGCTGGGAAGGGGTGATGGATCCCATTGCTCTGTGTGTGTGGTAATGCATAGGTGTGTAAGCAAGGTGGTAATGACAGACATTCTCTTCCATATGCTTTGGTTCTGATCACTTCACAGTTGTGAGCTCTGCCAGTGTAGAGGAGAAAAAGAATTTGAAATTCCTAAGTTAATATAAATAGTAATATGTAACTTCATATGTGTTTGTACAAAGTAATATTCATTGTGCCTTGTATTTAAGATGCGATATATATAAAAAAATCCCTGAGGTTGGAAAAAGTATGCTTCTTAAAAAGGAAAGCGTCAGAAAGATGTATAGTGGGTGACTTGTGGATTTGTAATGTATTTTAGCTCTTTAAACTATTTTGAATGTACATAGGAACATGTGGAAAAATGTAGATATATGCCACAGAGTCTGTGCTTTGTATCATAGGAAGGCTCTGAAAAATAAAAAAAAACATTTTTTGGTTTTCGGTACTAGACCGGGAAAAAAAAAGAACTATTTGCACACTATATTTTGATTGTTTTTTGTACCAAAGACGAATGCAACAAACATGGCGAATAGCCAGTTGAAGTAAGGTTTTGCACAGCTTACCTGACACCGTATTGAATGTAGGAAACGCAGTAGGGTCAGGGATATTCTACGAACTGTGAATTTTTTGCTTGGGTCCAATTATCTACAGAAGGAGCATTCATACACACTTTACATAAGTTTGCTGTTCCTCTTGTTGGCTTCTCAAGTAGATAAAATGATTTAGGAAGTTTCGAGTTTTTTCCTTAAGTAGATTTCTGCAGTGTGTATTCTACTGCCTTTTTTAAGGAAAGTAATAAGAACGTCGGAAATATGAAGCATTTAAATGTATAATTTTATTTAGCATGTTTGTAAAATATTACCAGAAATAACCAAAAGGTATAGTATTTGTATAGTTTATATATGTAAGAGAAGAAGAAGAAATATATATATAATACCTATTCCTAAGTTGCCACTTTTTCAATTAATGTATTGTTGAGCATGATAAATTTCTAAAGATCTGTATACTTCATATTCAAAGGTTTAAAAAGTAAAAAAATCTCGATTTTATATATTTTTGTACAGATAGGCTTTACCTTTTTGTTGATGTTGCAGATTATTCCATTTAAAATCTATTTAAAGATAAAGTAAAGCTTTTGCTATGTGTTTGCACTGTATAGTAACCTGAGGTTATCTTCTGTGTTTTGGTAATAAAAACCATAAATTGCTATAGTTTCCTAGAGGGAGTTAAGATTAACGGCATGGGTTAAATATTATTCTGGTTTCTTCGGTCTTTCAGAAATATAGATTTACCTGTAGGATTGACTGATCCGTCTTAATACTGAATGAGCACCAAAATGCACTTTTTGATGTGGGAAACCCACAGCTAGGGAAGTAAAAGTTTGAAAAGAAGGTTGCTTCATGTACAGTTTTATATATGTGTATATATATTATTTGTATGACATCTGTACTTATTGAAGTGGGTTGAGGGCTGTTGTATTAATTCTCAGGGGTGTGGCTATACATTGTATTGTCCAGTCCTGTTTTTATTTTTCTTAACATTACTTCATTATCTAAAAACACCTCTGCAACTACCTTGCACTCTTGTGAGGGTGAGCTGCACTGTTGTCACCAGTAAACTGTGGGATCTCCATTCATTTCCATAAAATCTGTTTTTTTTTTTTTTAAATCCAACTAGCTGTTGTTGACAGGGGTAATCGTCTGCTAGAATTATTATTTTATCCAGGCCGCACACAGGTGCACCAGCCTGCACAAGAGGTTTAGCAGACATAATGACTAAAACGTGCTGATCCATTCTGATAGCAATGCCAAGGAAATTGTTTCTTACCCAGTGCAGGAAACAAATCTTGATATTGGAAACCATTTTTTCCCCTTACCCAGAACATATTTTACTCGGGCACCTACAAAGCAAAATGAATGGAATCGCAAACCAGGACAAAAAAAGTTTTAAAAATCCCATTTTGTTAGGAGAATTTCAGCCTTTCAGCATAATGCAAACTAACTGTAGACTTATGTCTGAGAGCTAACTAGAGAACTAGGGGCTCTGCTATAGTAGGATTCAGCAACCGTGAATTTGATTTTTTGTTTCTTTTTGAGCTGCGGTCAGTGTAGTCTTGCTTACTTGTCAAAGTAAGGAGAAGTTGGAGGTGACATTCTCACTAACAATTCCCAGCTGTGTCAATCCGTGATCAGAATGCCACCTACAGTATTAGGATCATAACAACCTGGAGCATGTTCCCAAAAGTTGAGGACACCATTGCAGCACACAAGGACGATCTAGAAACGTGATTTAACCTCGCCAGCAGGTTGTTGAATGTTAGGAGGAATCCAGAGAACCTGGCCTCACCAGTCAGGAACATGGCGGAACATCCAAGCTCCAAACAGGAGGTGCTCCAGTTTGGGATTAATGAGCCCAGAGCTGTCCTGACCACCACACCACTGTGTTGTCTACAGCTTCTAATTGTAAAGAAACAATAATGACTATGCATTGAATGCAAAGCGCAGATGGTCTTAGAACAAGCATGGCATTTGCCTTGGTGTTGAAAGGGAACATACACATTGGACTGTGTTTAGTACTGTTTTCTTTATTTCACTGTTTTTCTCTAATGCTGTTGGCTCGGTCCTTTGCTCTTCCTGCTTACAGTTGAAAAAGCTAATTCTGTGTAATAACTGATTAGAGTCAGATTCATTTCCATATAGCATAAGCTCTTTTGGAAGCTCTTGTTTTCTTTTTTTGTCTAAAAATTTAATTTTGCACAAAAGTGATGTGTCATTTAAGAAGGGAGAGATGGGTGAGCAGGGGTGCCTTTTGTTAGAAACCAGAATTCTATTTAAGCATGCACAATACTTTCTTCTTTTTCTTCTGTGTAATCTAGATAGCGTAGTCTACACCGTCCATAAGTTTGTCTTTATTTCAGTGTTTCACTTTGTAAATAAAATAAGCTGAGATTTACCTTTTTAAATGTTGAGTTTATATAATGCGTTAAATCTATTTGGAAAAAAAAAGAAGAAAGCACTTTGTTGAAAAAAGAGTAAAGAAAAAAGTCTAGCATTTTTTTTTCTTTTGTATATTCCTTCCATTTGCTGCTAAACCTGGTCTAGTCTGAACGCTGCGACGATACTTGACTTCAATAATACTGGCAGGACAGCTTAGGAGAGAAGTCTAGAGAAGTGGGCAGCCGACCTTTTATTACAAGGTTATGTTCCAGTGACTTGGATGTCATAAGTCTTTTGCCTTCAGTAGAGTTTTCCTATGGAAATCAAGTCTGCTTGGGGTTCTCTTCAGGTTGATGTACAGTGTAGACACGTCTGTTTTGGACGTCTCCATGTTATTGACTGTTTTTAATTTCTTATTTTATTTCATTTTATTGAGAAAGAAAAAAAAAGTACAATGTGTCCAGGAGTATTTTAAGGAAGCTCTGTCTTGTGAATGGTTTAAGCTAAATAAAAAACAATCTTTGTACTGTATGTAACGGAGGTTTGTAAGGGAGGGAAACAATCAGAAGCTCTTTGCCTCCACAACCTCATTTCCATTCACAAGTTTACGTATAAAATAGTTTTGCTTTGGCTACTTACACAGGCTGCACTGACAACCGATGCAGTCCGGCCTGTTTGAAATGCTAAAGCAATTACAATTTTGTAAAAACAAAATACGATGTATTTGTCAAGTGTTAACGAAAACGAATTTGATTTCATTAAAGCATTTGTCAAATATTTTTCCCATGGGCTGTATGGCAGTATAATTATTGCTATTTTTCCAGCACCAGTAAAGTGTTCTTGCGGGTTTTCACGTTTAACATGATGAACGCAAGCTGTGCAGCTTTACATTTTAACCAGGGGACTCTGTGGCATTTAAGCAGTTTAGAAAATGGTTGTTAATTCAATGCCAGTACCTTCTATTTCTGCTTCCTCTATTGACCTTAAGAAACATATAAATATATATTCTAATTTTGTCAAAAAAAATACATCCTTAACAGAGAAAACAGGAGAAGTGTATGTGTTTATTTTTTTTTAATTCTTATTTTGTACTTTTGGCATGCTTACAGTACATTGTCCAGTTTGTAGTGTATATGATAATAATGCTGACAATAAATAGTCTACTGTTGAAGGTGCACTATGCAGATTTTACTCTTGTGAGTAAGGCAGTACATTGCTTTAGTTTTTAACTTTCCATGTGTAGGAAACAGGAGCTTTTACCTGTTTGCTTTACAGACATCAAACCTAGTCCTATGGATATTAGTTTGGTCAATTCTGCAAATGACCAGCAAGGTCAAGAGACTTTGGCAGGTCTGACTAGACTTTAGTGTGTTTATTGAGAACTGAAGGCAACTCAAATTTGTTGGATGGTTTTTTTTTCCGTAGATAGCAGTCTCATAATACATGCTTGCAAAATGTCTTAATGATGTTCAGTAAACTTCTGCTTCAAAAGCTTTTTTAACCAGAGGAATGCTGTAGCTGTATTTTGGGGGGTGAGGGGCATTTGTGAACATATGGACTCAAAAATGTGGATTCTGCATTAAACGTTTTATCCATTTTAAAATTACATACACTTCCCAGATTGAACCACTCTTGTTACAGGAATCGTGTGATAGTACTTACGATGTAGTGTCACCTCTGTCATTTTTTGTCCTTTGTATCTCATCTGTCAGAGGTGTCAGTTTGCCTTAAGAGATACACGAAGACAGAATTTGTTCTCAAAATCAGACAGGTCTTGTGAGCTTTTTCTATAGCAGTGGCTTTGAAAGCAGGTCCTCCTGATAGAAAGTTTTTTCTGAACTCTAAGAATGTATTAGCCTTGACCCCCAGTCCATGTGCCCTTAATTCTGAGTAGGTGTGTTATATAGAGTGGCATTAAAAATACAATAAATTAATATCGTGACCAATACCATTTGTTGCATTTTTAATGGCACTCAGTATATTTCAGGAGATGTAAGTTACAGAATGCACATTCAACGAATATAGAAGGATTAAAGATGGGATATCTGATTTCTGCCAGCACAAGGAGAAGGCCATTTATTTTTTTATTAAATCAATATGAGTCCGTATGCATTGTATTTCTAAATCCATTAATTCAAATTAAAAGTACAAACACAATTTACCAGAATATATCCACTGCATTGCAGTGGGTTTCACAATTCAAACCTATTTTTAATACAACAAATTAATGCCTGCTTTAACAGGTGCCTTACTTAAGAGAGAAAAATGTTCAAGTTTTCTTATTTGATTGTTAAATGTTTGACATAAATATCTGATTTTGTGATTAAGCTGAGTTAGCCCATCATGCCAAGAATTTTGGACAGTTTTGAAGGAGTGTGGTGGCTTTCTGTTGAAATCTGTACTTGGTCTGTTTCAGGTACAGTTTTCACTAAAAGTTGACCCTCCAGCAGAATGTAGTCTTCCGTGAGAGGATTGATACAAATCAAACTAAAAATAGCAAAGATATGTCCAGTTTAACAATGGGTAAAGCAATCCAAAGAGTGCTGAAATTTTGATTCACAATAATTTAAGCATTTTTTTCCTCATTCACGATTTCTGTATGTTCTGTGGTTAACTTATTTTATTTCTGTAAAACTGATATTTTGTATTTCTTTTGTATTTATGGTCTAAATCTGTAATTTATTGCACAGAAGTTTGAATTTAGATTAAACGTTTTGCCTTTTGAATTCCTCTACCACTTTCTTTTCTCTAGTTTTCTTTTGTTCCCCCTCTTTCTTTCCTAAATCAAGCAAAAAACAAAAACTTGTGTTCTACTTTCCAAAAGGAATGTTAGTAAGGGGATGTGGGACTGGGACAAGCAGGGATGTTGAAATGAAGTCCTAATTTACAGATGCTTTTAAACGTATCAAAAGGAAGGACAAGGCTAAACCTTTCATTTTGTGTCCCTTCAAAAATTAACATATATATGTGCCTACTGACTCTGCATTTGACTTTCAGTAAATACGTTTCCGTATCATTTGCTGTCTACAGTTCAATTTTAAATACAAAAGCACCTGGCCTTTTGCAGCTGTTCACCAGTGAACAATAAAGGTTCAAATGGTAAACGACACAAAACAGGGTAGGCCTGTTGACTTCCGATTGAATCTGTAAATGCTTCTTAAGCAACCCTTTTGGTTCCAGACATGCATGGTCTGTCTTTTCACATTTTCTGCTGTAGTAGTGTTGGGAGGTGTACAGAAACCTCTATTGAAACAGTCAGCATCGATTTATCAGACCGCGAAACCCAAAACCGTGACCTGAACTGACATTTTGAACATTTTTAGTAGTGTTCTGACGTATAGACTATCTTGTCATGAGCACAGCTACGGAAATGAAAAGTTAAATCCGATTAAAATGCAAAGGGCTTCTTTCAGAGTAAATGTACTAGATTAAAAGGTTTTCACTTTACTTTGATGTGAAAGTGCAAGCAGCGCCACATCAGTAAATCAGTGAATATGAGAAGTCATGAATATCCCCAGAAAAGTGTTGCTCAGCAGCTTTCTTGATGAGCATCTTCACAGAAAGTAGGATTTCAAGCTGTGAAGTTCATAAAGCATTAGCATGGTGGTAGATGTGTAAGACCTTAAGCAGCTTGTTGTAAGATGATGTCATATGAATTTAGCCTTTTAATGAGGGTTTAATAAAGACACGTTACACTGAAGAGCTCAGACAGCTGGTTTTGTACTGTGCTTAATCTGATGACGTCCGTTTGGGTCACTCTTGTTGTTTGGCACACATCTGCTTATCAGTAAAGTGTCATCTCTGACCTCTCAGTACCTGACACCAGTGACATTGTACAGGGACCACCATACATGAAACTGAAATAAAAACTCCTCACAATACATGACATTGTATTTCTGTACCCGGCAATGAATTACATTTCCTTCCAAACTTTGAACAAAGGAAAGACTGATATTTAAGAATACAATGAAAGTAAAACCAAATGTCACAAAAAGGCTAAACTTAATTCCATACAACATTTTAAGACAGGCAATTGAAGTAATGTCCTTTTTAAAAATAAAACGAACCATGCCCTCACACAGACGCTTTTAACGTTGTATGGTACGTCACTCCTAGATGAATAGCATGGGGTTTGTTAATAGGTAGTACTGTTGTGTGTACTTCCCAGGTGTAACTTTGTATCTCATTAGGAAGGCTGTACTTCATTGCTAAATGCTCTGTAATAGAACTTTGGTGACATTTTAAGCAAATCTGCAGTTGTGTATCCTGCTGAAACTAACAATAACTTGATCCTACTAGTCATGTCTATATCTGTAGCTCACATATATGCCTGTTGAACACAATATCTAAACAGTTGTTATGTTTATGTTGTTTAATTGTTGTGCTGTTTTTTTTTCTCGAGGCACAGTTATCATTATTAGAGAAAAATCACTGGATAACAAACACCATGTATATGTACAGAAGTAAATTAGACTGAGTTCGATCTTAATCGATTTTTTTAAAGGATCCTTTATATGCGTAATTGTGCCTCTTGGTTTTCTCTTTCTTTATTCTTTTTTTTTTTAATTTCACCGCATTGTATCAGCCCGGAGTTGGTACCACAGTTGCTTGTAACCATGATAGTCTAATTCCATTATTGTTTTTAATACGAAAATAAATGTTAGAAACGATATTGCCGTTTGTGTTTTTACTGCTTTCTTTTAACAGTGTCCGTGCCCTTCCACATTTGAGACTTGTTCTATGTCACAGATCCACCAGTTGTGCGGTTTTAATCCCAGGTTGTGTTTCAAGCTGTTCCTTGCTCTATTGCGTTAAAAGAGGATGTCATGTCTGTCTGCTGACTTGAGTACTTTTCCATGCCTAAGAAAGAGGGACACCTCATTTCAAACCCACATAAATGCCATGAGAAATAATATACTGCACTTGACCATTATCCATCTATCTATTTTCTAACCACTTTATCCAATACTGGGTCACGGGGGAGCTAAAGCCTATCCCAGCAAACAACAGGCACAAGGTAGGATACTTGGATGTATCGCCAGAGACCACTGCAGGGCACGCAAAGGCACAGACTCAATCAAATTTTCCCAGAAGCCAATAACCTACCGGTATCTCTTTGGACTGTAGGCGGAAATCCATGTGAACGTGAGGAGAACATACAAACTCCACACAGACAGTGCCCCAGGAATTGTACCCAGGGTTCCCGGCATAATGAGGTGGCGATGCTAGCCACTGCGCCACTGTGCTGCCCTCGACTCTTATGCTTAACTTAAAAGAAAATATCTGAAAAGTGGCGAAGGCTTAATCAAATTATTATTTGAATATTATAATAAGAGTTATTGTAATAACTATTTTTTGCCTGTTTCTGGCTTGGGAGATTTTTTTTTCAAATTTCTGGAGCACCTTAGCCTGAAGACATTAGATATTCTTAGGAGGAACTGTATCCTTCAGGCAGTTAATACTCTGGCCATTTACTGTAGCTTCTAATTCCCTTTGTGTCTTTTTATGACACACCTTACTAGGACTCAAGTGAGGATTACAAGCTGTGTACAATTTCTGGAAATCGGTTAGTGTCATGCTTCTTTGCACTTCAAAGGAAATGGTGGAGCTTGGAAGGCAGACCTTTTGGCTTCACAAAGAGTGGCGAATGGCTTTTAGCGTTTGCTCGCCCTGTAACTGCTGCAAGGGAGAAATGAAACAGGAAGATCTGCAAGAACAACTACACTGGAAAATAACTTTTAGCTTTTAAAGGAAGAAGATGTGAAGAAGACTTGGAATATTCATTAAAGGAATATCCAAAAAAAGGAATCTCACATGGGATAAGGGATAAGTGACCAAGTCATCTTGTTGACAGACCATTCCAGTGCTGTAGCAGAATAAGCTGCTGTGTGGGGAAATATCAAGTTTTGATTTACTAACATTAGGGCCTATCGTCTCTTTATACAATTCCGTTTGTGAAATGTAATGGTGGGCAGCCACACCATCACCCGGCTCTTTACTGTAAGGTGAACAGGACACGGCAAAAACAGAGCAATTCAAGGCATTGATCTTTAAGGAATTAGAAAGATCAACTTTTCCTTTTCATGCTAGAGAATTATTAAAACAAAGAAGTGTCCATAGATGCATCGCAGACATGTGTACTGTATGTTTAAACATATACAACATATATTGCTGTTAGTTCAAACATTTATTCAGCTTTCAGAGGCATCCTGGGAACCAGAAACAGCTTTATGCGAAATAAAACTGAATACAAGTGGCTGGTTTGAAAGGGAGCTGGGCTAACCCCAACCACTGAGGTAAGCCGGCGCCAGCAGGAGAATAGGAGAAAGATTAATCAGATGACTTTTGTTTTGGAGGATTAGGGTGCCTGTTTCTGAGCTCAGAACGCAGCCTCCCTCCTCTGTCCTTCTCTGCCCACACCACATATCTGCTCTGGTGCTGGGGATTCAGCCAGTGTCACTTCCTCAATACTTACTGGTCACCTCTGCAGAAGATGTGACATCATTTTCCTTGAAACCAGCGCCCCAGTTTAGAGAGGGCTGGGGATGAAGGATGTGGCCGGTGGTTTTCTTACCTAATAGAAATACTTTATTGTTAACTTAGCTGACGTCCTTATCTGAGGCAATTTAGAATACTTAAAAATTGTACGTTAAGTTGAAGTACAAGGACAGCGAACATGCAAGCACAGTAAAATTAATAAGATTATGTGAAAAAGTCTAGGTTCAATACGGGTGCTGTACAAAACAATGATATAGTACTAAAATATATAGTATTTCACATATTATATCACTCAAGACATAATCCAAGAAGAACTAAGGATTTGCAAGTATGTGTAGAACTACACAATACATGCCAGCACTATGCATAGAGAGGAAAAATAGGCTTGCATTCTAACTGTGCTACTCTTAAGAAAACTTACAGCACTATTCAAGACATATAAACTGTCCCCAAAAAGAAAATATGCTTTATCTGGGAGCATGAATGCAGAAGAAGTTGTCATATGGAATTATGAAACACGGGTAATTAAATTCACCGTTTCCTAGCAACAAAACGTGGGCATAATTCCCTGGCAGACTGTAATGGCTTTAAAACACGTTTAAAGGCATGGCACAGCATCATCTTTGTGAACAAAGTTGGAGGTACACTGCAACTGGAAGTAAAGTGTGGTATGCAAATCCAATTAAACAACGTTGTTTTTACTCTTCAGTTCACAAAGCGCTAATGTATTGCAACAGAAGAGAAATGGTTGTTTCCCTTAGCACGTCAAGGAAAGGAGGGGAAAAAGGCGTTTAGTTTGCCGCAATGAGCCTCGTGAGGCCCCGTAGTCTGCGTTCAAAGATGGCTTCCTCGCCGGATGTCCACGTCCGTATTTGTGGACAAGAAATAATCAAATATGATTTGGAAATAAAAGCCCTCATTCAGGTGAGAACGATAAATATATTTTATAATTATATATAAATATATATTTTAAATGGTGCTTCGAATCAGATTGTTTACATCTATTTATTTTACTTGAAAAAGGTTGAGATCCCGTCACACGTAACCGGCAAATGTAGTTCTACTTAGCTAGCTCTTGCAAGACGGGGTCAAGTAATAATATGACGAACTATCAATGAATTATTATTAAACATTGACTATATATTAAGTAGTTTCCACAATTAAAATCTAATCTCATTAAAATATTTTGAATATAAAATTAATTTGGAAATAACCCTATTTTTTCAGTTTTAAAAAATCATACATTGGCCAATATTGGAATATTTGGTTATTAGCCCCCTATTGAGGAATGTGTGTTGCACTCAGACACAATAAAGCATAACCGTTTACTGTGTTATTATACTTTTATTTGTGAGCTTCTTGCCTTTTTTTTTTGCTTAAGGATATTAGAGAATGTCCGGGACCACAGAGCAAGCTGACGGACTTAAACTCTCAAGTAAAACAGAAATTCAATCATCTGAGAATGAGGATACAGGTGAGTAAAAACCTTATACGTGAAAGTGTATTCAAATAACACAGCATGCTATCACTACGTATTTGTTTTAACGACTAACTAAGTTGATGTCTGTATCCGTACTTCTGTGGCACAGTTTTACCAGTGAGTCATTTAATACGCCTCTGAGCTCTGGTAAGATTTATTTCATATAGTGACCTGTCTTTGCTGTTTTTTTATTCAAAGCTCATTCATATTCTGACTTGGATGCTGCTATTGTACCCTTAAGCAACGTATTTAGACTACTACAGTACATACCCTGCTGGATAAATAAAAGAAGTTACAAATGAGAGGAAGTTATTTGGCCCACCCAGGGCCAATGGACACAATGTATCAGCTTCAGCAATATAGCAGGGCAGCTTGTTCCACACTCCCACCACCCTCTGTGTAAAGATGAGCCTTCTGTTCTCATTTTGATTTAATCTTTAAGTGGGTCTTCTATAGACCTAACATGGTCAAATTAATTAATAAATGGCGATTGATCATTTTGAGGCTATATCGAGCCTACGACCTATACAAATCTACTAGGTTTATATCAGTAATTATCTACAGGTTTGCTACTGGCTTATGGTTAATTTGCATTAATTTCCTGTTTGGATATATGTTCTATGTTTTCAGCTTAAAGACAAATTCCCATAGGGTCAATAAAGGTTAAAAGGGTAAATGAATGACATCATGGTGGATATCAGCCCAGTTTCAGAACTCATAAGTAACGCAGAATTAACTAAAATGATCCCTGTGAGAAAGTATGATAAACTGTCGTTCTCTTCTGGGTTTACATTGACCACATTCAAAACTGAGTGTACAGAAACCAAAATGCAAGCAGTTTAGACTTAAAGGCATCAATTAGTGCTGCTGATTACAGCGCTCACTTAGATAAAAAAACTAGTCGATAGAGTGTTAGGGTTAGGAACCTCTGTTTTTTAAGATGAGTGGTACAAGAAGATGTGATTTTAGTGTATAAATACACATGTCGTGAAGATGGAGATGGTGCATGGCTCTGAGCATCAAAGCATCAGGCTTTGAAACAGCTTTTTTATCATCAGAGTTTTGGGGTTCTCACAGCTGCATAATGGATTTCCCCTCCCTGAATTCCAGCCTTTTCTTGTCAGCGCTGGTGTATCGTTGTCCATGTTTTCGTAGGATCTGGCGGAACTGGCTAAGGAGCAGGATAAGGAATCGGACAAGCTGGCCATACTGAACGAAATGGAGGGACATCGGAAACAGATGCTGAGGTGAGGTGGGAAGAGATTTTTAGAAAATGAAAAGTTGATCAGGGTATGCTAAGGCAGTGTTTCCCAATTCCAGTCCATTCCTGCCTTTTTTCAGTTTTTGTTTTTTAAATTTTTTCTGTCAATGAAATTTCAGCTCATGAATACTAAATCAGAATACTAAATAAGAAATCAGCATTTACCCTACACCAGAAACTTTTCCTTTGTTGTTTCATATGAGAAATCAAACAGGGGGTCTATACATCAGCGAGAATGTATATAATGCTACATTATATGTGTTTTACATAAGAATGTGTTTTACATTCTTTCCCATCTGTGTATGAACATCATTAAAACACCTTAGTTTTATAGAAAGCTATGTTGAAATGAATTTGAAAAAGTGGCCTTTTTCCAGCATTTCTTGGAAATGGTGCATACGAAGATGTTCTGCGTGTCCAAGCCCTGATGCAGATTCTCAGTCCTAAATTAGGATTTAAAATAATCCTGAGTGCAGAGAACCTTTGGAAGTCAAACACGGTGGTTAAATTAAGAGTTTCATAAAGCTGATTAGTCAGGAGCCCAGTTCTGATAAAACTGGAAGACATCTGGAAGGTAGGACTGCTACACATCTTAGTGCTATTTGCTCTCTATTTGAGAGAATAACTAGCTCTGTATAGGAGCCCAGTTTTTTCAATCTTGAACACAGCAGATTACAAGGAACTTGCTAGACAAAAGTTAGATAAAACTGGTATTCATTGGATTATTTTTAATAATGCAATAAGGGTCCAGAAACAATTGGAAATTAAGAGAGTGTATTAGGACTGAGAATGGGATGCATTTTTTACACAAAAAGAAGTGGGTGTCCAAACTAAGCTCAAGTTATGTTTTCCATCCTTTAAGACATAACTGGGATCTTAGGGTCAAATAACTACCTGTACTAAGTGATGTAGTGCAAAATATTATGTACCTTGAGACTTGCCAGTTTTTATCAGGTGTGTGACATCACAGTTATTGGAAATATCGCATATCCATAACTTGGTTTCTTTAAGCTTATCCCAGGGGATAAAATAAAATTCACTGACATTTAAAATGAGTTTTAAAAGGATTGTAAGCTGCTCAGTTGTTAAATAACCTTCTAGCAGTGTTGATTTAGTGAGTACTATAGGTACTAATACAAAACCAAGGAAGAGCTTTTTTTTGTTCTTTTTTTTCTTTCATTCTTTCATTGAATCTTTTATATTTTAGTAATCAGACTGCATGGAGAAAGGCTAACTTGGCCTGCAAACTAGCCATTGATAACTGGGAGAAGGATGAGCTGCTACAGGGAAGGGATTCTTCAGTGAGGCAAAGGTAGGAATTACTTGATTGTGTAAAGAACCCTGGACAAAGATATATTCGACCCTAACGGATAGAGGCACTGTGTCCTGTTGAGAATGGTCATCTAATCATGAAATGCTGATCCAGGAATAAAAGCTCATACACCAAAAACCGCAGTTCATCAAAAACCACAGCGGTGCTAAAACCTTTCATTCACATTTGAAATATGTGTGGGACACACTCAAATAGACATTTCCATACAAAAATTTAGAATGTGCTTAAAAATCAAATATTTCCAGCAATACATAATTATATCTATGCATAGTTAATATCGTTATTTACTAGCATCCAAATGAGCTAGATGGCTCAAAAGGCCCCCTTTTACTTGTGACTTCTGCTCTCATATAAATAAAGGGTTACATCTTTGTATATAGAGCTGTACACTGTGGATTCCCAGTATTTGAACTGTTTCTGTTCCATCGTTTCTGTCCTTAGAAAGACAACCAAAGAGAGCCTTGCCCAGACCTCCAGTGACATCACGGAGAGCCTCATGAGTATCAGCAGGCTGATGTCCCAGCAGGTCCAGCAGAGCGAGGAGACTATAAGCACCCTGGGTGAGTGAGAGCCCCCTGTTTCCCCACCGCTGTCCTTACACAGCACCTGTCCAGCTACCGGTTACACATTCCTGACCATCAAGGTGTGGTATTGTGCTGTGGTGATAGCCCTGCCTTCTTTTACTTTTTGTAGAGTGACGACGCACAATTCACAGAGCAGAGCAGTCTTTGTTGTTCAGTGTACCTCAGTGTATGAGGGTCTATCCAGCATGACAGATACAGGAATACCAGAGTCTATTGCATCTTTGGTCAATGGCTGTGACACAGTTTGCAGTTATACAAACTATAACCAGACAGTGGAGCCACATTGTTATAGATGGCTTTGCTCAGTCTTTATGAGTGGCAATCTGCAGATGGACCATTATTGAATAAAGGCGATCACAAAGTTTAGTGTTATGCTATCATTGACAGTTTTGTGCTTGAATATGAAAGTGTGCAGCTGGAAATTATCTGTATTCTATTCTTCTATACCTTCATCTGACACAGGTATAAGTGGAGACTGTAAGGCCATTGACTCACTAGGAAAAAAGCTGTTGATTAACAGGCTGCTGCATTGGTGAATTGAGAAATTAAAGGGCCGATCTCTCTAGGTAGAGAAAATCTTGGAAATACTTTACTGTATCATGGAAAAAAATATACAGATTTTACAGGTTTCACATGCCTTTTTTTTTCTTCTCTAAAGTTGTTGTGTTAGATAACATTGAGCATTCCTAACAGCACTGTCCTTTATGGTAAATTGTGGTAACCTGGTGGGCCTAAAAAAAGGAACAAGAAATTGTCCTGAGTTTATTCGGTGTGGACTTTAACAATGTTTTGCACCCTGCCTGTTTTCAACTGCAGCAGAATTGCCCAATTCAGTTATAGATCAACCTAAAGCTGAAGATTATTAAGAATTCATTTTGCTCGTAAAAAATGTTTCAGTAAGCATTTGTTCTGAACAGTATGAGGCAGGAGTATTTCTCAAAGGAACAACGGTTGTGTTGTTTGTGTCATGGGATTTGAACCCACAACCTTCCAGTCCAAAGTCCTGCCAGTGCTCACACTGCTGCTTCATGTCTAATGTTCTAATACCTATCATTATAAGTTCTTATTTCCATCACGTGATCAAAGAAATGCAAAGCAGCCAAATACAACTTTAAGATGGATAAATTGGGCTGCATAAAACATTTGTTGTCATTTTTTATTGTTTATGTTTGTCAATATCCTCATTAGCCGTGTTCCATTCCAGAAGTTAAGAGTCAATGTACTTTAAGGAAGCATCCTACAATGGCTAATTTGAATGTCTCTTGACGTGGTAGGAAAGTCTTCATGGCGTGTGTTATTTGTTTGCAGTGAAGCTATACCAGTTAAAAATTGGGGGATCGGGGAAGAAAACGGCTCTGTTGGCTTAAGGATAACGAATCTCTGCCGGGGTGCAGCCCTGTTCGAGAAGCAGAGCATGTCCCAGGCGGATTTCAGGTTGAGCTAAATCGCTGGGGGAAGTGTCTAACGGCTACACCTCAGCCCGGCCAGCTCAGTTGGAGCTGAAAAAAGCCAGATGATAACTACTTCCTGACATTTTGGATTGTGACGTGCCTTCAGTCCGTTTTCTTGATCTGCAGTGGCTCTGCCCATCCAGACCCCCCGCCCGTCAGCAGAAAAGTAACTTTTTCTGTGGGAGTTCTTGTTGTCGAGTCTTTTTTTGTGTTGTTTTTTGTTCCCTCTAGCCACATCCTCAAGAACAGTCCTGGAGACCAACGAGGAGTTTAAGGCGATGACAGGGACCATTCAGCTGGGACGCAAGCTCATCACCAAGTACAACCGGCGCGAGTTTACGGACAAGCTCCTCATTTACCTGGCTGTGGCCCTATTCGCCGCCACGGTCCTGTACATTTTAAAGAAAAGGCTCTTTCCGTTCATCTAGAAGAAGAGGAATGCAACTGGGGAATTCTACCAAGGACAGCATCCCTAACCGTCTCCAACCTACCTGCCTGCAAGAGCAGCACTTGTTTAAAATTGTTTCAGAACAGAAAATGGGAACAGAAGTTTTTTTTTTTTGTTCTGCTGTAGCATTGCTCTTTTTTTATACCACCGCCAGAAGCAAGGGGAAAGTGGAATGAGCCGACGAGAGCACTACCGGTGAGCAGGGTGCGGTAGCTGTGGTTTTGACCAGGAACAGAGTTTCTCCAGTTGTGACTCTCATGGGGGTTACCATAAGACCCATGGGAGTGACTGCAGGAAGTGCTTAGATAATGCCCATCATTAGTGAAAAGGCCGATTTTTAAGGGCTGCTTATATTGCTTTGTGGAAGAATGTGCTCGAGATCTGAACCGTCCCATTGGTGTATAAGAATTCTCTCTCTCCGTTTTTCAGTTTTTATTTTTATTTTTCATGCTGGAATTCTGCCAGGTAACGAAGTTAGATTGTACCTATTAATTGCCTTAACTAGCACCATAATCAGTTTGATTGTGCCTTTGGATTTGTGAGAGTTCAGGCTGGGAAACAGCGTTGTGGTGTGAACAACAGCTGATCCGATTTCACCCTATACCAAGCAGGGGAGCGGATCACATCCACAGAGGGTACAAAGATCAAATGTGTAGCGGGTGTTCTGTGGCAAGCTAATTGAGAAACTATGGTCAGAGAAAGGTTTTAATAAATATTGTACAATTTGCTTAAATATTTCAGTTATTTCTGCAATCCAGTTTTAAAATGTAAATAATGTATTTAGAGCACAAAAGATTTTATATGAATATTAATTTATGGAATCTCTGTTGCTGTATTTTCTGTTGGGCTTTTGTACATACAGTATCAGCTATATTGCTCTTGAACCTAGGGTTTCAGAATGCTTTTTATTCAATCAATGCCTTTCTTGTCTTGCTCTGTATCCTAGTTAGTGTTTTAATTACATATGATACAGTAAGATGTCAAGCGTAATAATTTACCTGCTCCACAGAATAAATACTGAAACATGTAACATATTGTCTTAATCTGGTGCATATTTTATAGAAAAAGACATGCTGTTTTGTAGGTCAAGAGTTTTAATATATGGATTTTTCTTCAGATAATGTGTAAATTTCTTGTAAACTGTGTACTCTGAATATGCACAAATCGCAAGTGATATTTGAAAAAAATTGACTTTTGTTACATCAGAAATGTTTGGTTGTAAAGGGTAATTATGAAGTACCTTTGTCTTCTTTTTAGTACTTAAGTGAAGATTCTTGCGGAGTTTATAGGGATTACCTTTTACATCATCCAGAGCTTGATATGGTTGCTTTTGGTACGTGAGTTGAAATGTACCAAGTTCTTGTTCTTGGAGAAAATCTGCAATTGTTCTGCTATGATATTGTTCTCAATATGCTGATTTTTTATTATTATTCCTGCAAGAATTGCTGGTTAGCAGTTTGAAAGCGCTGTGTGACCTCTGACCCAACGTGGGGGTGACCATGAAGTGCACACTGCCCTTTAGAGCTACAGCTACCTGACCTGACACGCTGTGAGCTCCTCTGTGCTGGGGAAGGGGCATTTCTCTCATTCGCATGCTCATAGGTGCTGTCCAGCTGGTCTTGGAGCCCACTCTTGCTCTGCAAGTCGAGCCCACCCTGAGCAATACAAGCCCAGGCCCATCCTATGCTGCTGCTTAGGGAGTCCAGTTTGCAGTGGCCTACTGACATAACCCAGAAAGGTCCTGCAATGTCTGGACAACAGACTCAAACTAAGCTCTGAGTGCGCACCGATACTTGCTGAGCCATTCAGTAGCCCCCTTATCTTTTTAATAAATTGAATTAAACTTTTTGTGCTCTTACAGTAGGCAAGCCAAATAACCTGAGAAGCTGCTTCTGTGAAGCAGTAGTACCTTTTAAAAAGGGTATACGTAACATTAGTGGAAATTAAAAGAGCAAAGGGTAAAAATACACTATTTTTGAGAGGAAACTTATGTGTGAATGCCTGAATACAATGCAGATCTATTGATCAGTGTCCCAGAATCCAAGGCACTGTTTTTTCCTCTTTCTCTTGCAATCCCTTTGTTGACACCGGCCAGCAGGACATGCCATCTAGTTTTTCTGGGCTCTGGTCAGAGGCTAGGAGGGGGGGGGACTGTGTGATCTTTGGCACAAATCACGTCACTGGTGATAAAGCTGCATACTGTATGTCCCTGTCTTCCCTCAGATAAGACCCGGAAAGGCAGATTACTCAGACCACTTTTTTTTTCTCTGCGATGCAGACTGGAGGGGCTTATTTTTAGACTGGTATCTGACTTGTTCTTTTCAACACCCATGTGGTAGTTGGGGTTTCAGCGATATGATCTTTCTCTGTGCGTTACAGTTTGTTCCTCCTGCAGTTGATTGGAAGATAGGGCTGGACAGCATGCTGTTGTCATCTCAGATTCACTGCCCCTTTTTACCGGTCTTGACTTGGCGATGCTCTCAATGGTTCTGGTGGTGCCAGAGGTTAAAAAACAGATCTGTACTGTCCTGTAGAGCGCATGGGTTCTGAATGCAGATTGTGCGGTGTAGTATGGAGAGAGCTGGAGACCTCCGCCCAATGTCTTTAGAAGTGTTCAAAGCGTTGAAGTGAGCAAAGGATTGTAGAAGAAAAACAGGAAAGGGGAAGAGATGCTATTTTGAGGTGTTGTGAGGTGCTACATTTTGTGGTTTCAGCAACTGTTCTGCCCTAAACTTAGAACCTGATTTTAGGATTTGCTTGTAGCTTCACACGGTGCTGGGGAAAACGATGATAAAAGGTTGTGCGGCCTCGACACACATGCCAGTTGTGAACAGTTGTTGCTGACGTGGTGATTGGTGATGGTGAACAGACAGGGCTCTGCCATTTTAAAAGGCCCACCGTGCCATAATTGGGGAACTTTTAGATTTTGCCACACTACCGCGTTCTGAGCCCTTCTGTTTGACTGGGCTGCCAAGCCATCACATCTGGCTGTGTTTGTGCCTGCTCCGCTTTTGTGCTTGGCGTTTTCTTCCTGCTGTTGCCCGGAGCGTACCTCGCATCTGGCCATTTTAATATGGCAGGGTTTTCTGTTGTCTCGGTGAAAAGTGATCCTTCGGTTGATTTTTGCCTTTTTCATAGTTTAAACTGTGGGTTTTGTATATTCATATGGAGACTGGAGGTCTTCTAGGGTTCTGTCACCAGCCAGAGGTGGCGGAGAACTCCAGTTAACAAAAACTGCTCTATGCAGGGAAATCTTTTTACATTAAGCCTGTCGCTGCACGTTTGCTCAGCCTGTCCTGTGATCTCTCAGTTCAGAACGTCCCTTGGCTATCCTTGTGTTGCATTTCAGCGAAGGCGGGGACAGATAACAGGGCTCAGGGAGGAGAAATACTCAGCTATTTTTTCTCCTTTTCCCCCTCCGCCGTGTAACTCGGTTGACAGTCATTGCCGGAGTGAGCCCACATTCCATGGGCTGTGGAGCCGGCCCCGGGGAGAGTTTTTAAGCTGGTGATTAATAGGCTGATGAATGCTATTAGATGAGACACGGACGGCACATCCCCTTCATGTGTATAACCTGCGCGCCTGGCGTGCTCGACGTTTATTCAGAGCTCTCGATAATGAAGGCCAGTCAAATCAACTGCTTGCGGTTGGAAAAAAAACAAACTGAAAGGTCACCACAGCTAATTATTGTGTAGTTATTTCACTCTCCCAGCTACCACGCACATGTCCCCGATCTGAGGAAGCTTTTGCCTTGTCATGTACACCTGTAGGAGGGGCCGCTGCATGATGGGATCGAAAACACGAATAAACCGCAGAATACCGTCTTGGCTGCTTTTCTTCTGGGTTGTTTTTCTTTTTAAGTGTGAACCGTTGCAACCGATACTTAAATATCGACGATAAATGCCAGCGAGGAAAGGGGGGCGGGATGGGCAGGAGACATTTACGCCCTTGTCACGTAAAACAAACAAAAACGAACGCAGAAAATAAAAATAATAATAATGGTTTTAAGAAGCCTTACGGGTTATTATTAAAACAATTTTCATAAATGCGAAACAAGCTGGTGACGGTCTGAGCCAGCCGAGTTGTTTCCCGCTATTTCTCAGGTCTGTATATGATGGACTGGATGGTCTTGTGGTGTCGGTTGAATGTGCTAAACAAGGGAGACCAAGCGGTGTGCCCACGCCTCGGGAACAGGAGGGTACAGGAAGGCCCCCCGGGAGAAAACAGGGGCTTGGCTGCTCGGTACACGGGCGAAGAACCCGGTATCCTTCTCTGCTCGACTTCAGCAGATTCCTTCGCCGCGCAGTTTGAAAGAAGGGTTTGAAAAGCCGGTCTCGCTGTTTAGCAGGACACGAAACATCTGACGCCGCTCATCCTGATTGTTTGTTATTGGTTGACATGATTTAAATCGAGGGTCGCAGACTCGGTTCCAGTCGTGTCAGCTGGCTTTGTTTCGCCCAGCTCAAGCGCTCAGGCACGGCGTTGGTCTGATGGTTTAATTACCTGCCCTTGTTGTTCTGACTGCAGCCGGCCTCTCGGATTTGTCGTAACAGGGTGACCGTCCCCTTAATGAGGGGGGTGTTTTGAGTAGTGAACTGTAAAATATCTAGAATCAAATCCACTGTATATGTACAACAAACTAAGAAAAATAAGTAAGTTTGGTTACTTGGGACACAAATCATGAATTGGGTTTAGTATCCCGATCTAAATCCTTAAAAAAAAAAACATAGTTTGGTCATCTGTAAAACTTCAAACTGTATGTAGCAACCTGAAATTTTAATAAATATCGTCCAAATATAAATATAACTCATATTGTAATTTTATTACGATTTATGAGGTATTACTTATCTAGCGATTTTGCCTGTATCGCTGGAACAAGCAGGGAGTTGTGTGATACATGTGCGCAGTCTTCCGAGGTCGACATTTTGTCGAATTATGGACAAGTAAAACGGTTCAGGATAAACGTATTCGTTTATGCTTTGTCGTAGAAATTGAGTCTAGCCCGTATCACTGAAATACTGTACTCTATGCCTAACTTAGCTACAAGGCCAAAATAATGTTACCTGTAGATTACGTTTAGAATTCCTTGTATTGAAAGCCCTCGCACTATGAGAATATTCACGGCCGATTTACAATTTAGTAAATTATTAAATTCGAAAGTATGATAAATGTCTGAATTTACGAAATAATATTTGTCATTTTCTGGTTTAAATGCGCAGACGAACATACAGAAAAAAAGTTTTACCATCATGGTATAAATAGTTTAATATATTTTTTTAAATCCGTCTTTTTTATAGTGCTGAACCTGTGAGTTGCAGCTCTTGTGTTTCTAATAATACGTCACATCACGGTATAAATATATAGAATGTAATCTCGTCGTGTCTTGCTTCTTATTAGCTTTTCTTCTCTCGAAACTTGCTATTTGAAAAATCGTGCGCTTTTTGAATGTTTCATTATCTTAAAATGTATCGGAGGTGTTTGCCTTTGAAATGGGTCCTTCCCGAAAATAAGAGTTTAAGAATATCTTGTGTAGGATTGTTTTGTGTGAAAACATTTTAATGAACATTTATTGTGTTCGCTTTATTTTATTGTAAAAATGAGACTTTCGACTTTTATGTGAATCCATCTTTGATATAGAATGTACGACTTTAATGTCGGGATGATCACGGGATAGAGACGAAATGCACTACGATTTTTATGTTCAGTGGTTTAAAAAAAAGAATTTTTTTTCACACTTCTGAAAAAGACCTTTGGACTATTTTTGAATTATTAACATTTTTATGGTGAAGATTAACAGCTGCGTGCGAAGTATATGTTAGGAATGTAACGCACAGCATAAATACCGTTTCAAAACATCTCTGCGTAATCTTTTCTTTTAGAATTTCAAGGCATTGGAAATGAACAAACGAAAACATGAATTTTAATACAACAGTCTTTATTTACAATATATTTTAATTTTTTTAACAACCACAGTATGTGATCCCCGTGCAGAACGGTTCATTTCTGCGTTGGAGTCGTTCTCTGGAACGATACTGTTTGTACTAAATCAGTAAATGTTAGTTAAATTTTGCGAGACCAATGGGAACAGTGCAAATGAAATTTTGCTGTAAATAATTTCTCATTAAAATACTTCTTAAACGTCCCTTGAATTTATGACAAATTCGTTTTCATTTTTTAGCTATATTTCTTTAAAGTATCGTTATGGGATGACTTGAATAAATAACCATAACGTTGGTTTTCCCCTTAGCACTCAGAATGTTTATCAACAAAAACCACACGAAACCCTGCCACCTGTACAATATTTAAACTAAAAATTACTGCATTGACAGGCTGATGACAAATCTCTTTATAATACAAGCGCCTACAATGGAAGAAAATAAGAACTTAAGCTTTTGTCTTTAACAATCCGATGTATGTCTACTTCACCTCCCTTAAAACTGACAGAAAACGCTTTCAAAAATCTTTTGAAAGTGATGATATCGATGTGAATCCTCTCATTTCGCCGTCCGTTTACCACTTCTGTCAGTCGAAAACTGCACCCAAATCATTTCTCAGAACCACTCTTGTATTTCAGCTCAGAAATCCCGTGACAAACTAAAAAACAGTTCAAGCAGAGGGGTAAAAAGACACGATTTACAAAAAGTCCTAAGTCACTAATGCATATTTTGTTTTATTTAAAATGTGACTTTTAGCAGATTAAAACCGAGAACCTGCACCTTAGTGCATCCCGTTTTAAGAAAATAACCTCTTTGAAGCGCACACGTTATGAGGTTCCGGGTTATTTGTCTTTAAAAAATTAAATTAAAATATATACACCCGCATTCACCAAGCTCTGATACCATGCAGGGGAGAAACTCCGTTGTTAGACTGGAACTGAGTCTGGACGTTACTCAGCTCCCCGACACTAAAGTTCATGTAGTTGCCGTTGGCCGAGGACGGTTGAAGGGTCGGCATAGCCGTTGCTGGGTAGTTGCAGGTATAGTTTGTGTTGCAGCCCGGACTAGGGTAGTTGGGGAAGGCTGGGTAGGTGTTGTAAGTGTAGTGGTTAAGGCCAACGTTGTACGAGGTGCTGTAGGCAGACGTGTCTCCTAAACACGGTTTGCCGTCTCGCACCAGCACCGGGACGGCGATGCGCCTCGGCGGGGCGATGCCCACCATCTCTAACGTCTGGTCCTGGCGCTGCCGTTTGCACTTATACCGCCGGTTCTGGAACCAGATCTTGACTTGGGTGGACGTGAGCTTGAGCACGTTGGCCAGGTGGTCCCTCTCGGGCGCGGACAGGTATTTCTGCTGTTTGAACCGCCTCTCCAGCTCGTACACCTGGGCCTGCGAGAACAGCACTCGCGGTTTCCGCCTCTTCCTCTGCCGCGGCCGCTCCGCGTCCTCCGCCTTCGCCTCCTCCCGCTGCTCTTTCCGAGAGGAGTAGCCCTCTGTAGAAAACAGCGCTTTATTAGTACTCGTGCCTTTTATTCTGCGCGGCAGTCGCAGGCATGGTATTACAGTCGTTATGTGGGCTATAAAAGTAGCTTGGAGATGTAGTGACTGCTTAGTTATGCAATTGTTAAAATCTTTTAATAACAGATAGTGAACCGTTTCGTTAAGTGAAATATTCATGTACATTTTAATGCGTGATCAAGGTTAAATGAAACGATTAATAGTGCAATCTAACCGTAAACCTAATCTTGTTAACGGCTACTACTAATGAAAGCGAGGGAGATTTGACATTTGGTAGTGTTCAGACAACAGATTATTGAGCATTTTTCAAGAAAAAAAAATCATAGATTTAATACGCAGTTACAGATTTGTAATGATCGGTTTGCTTTTGTGTTTCGCTACCCCCCTCCCCATCCTGCCCACCGCGTTTCTGATGGATCTTGAAGGTTGGCTTTTCTCCGCATCCTTAACACAGCAGGACAGCGACACCTGCATGAACATCAGCCCCGCTTCACACACTTTAGCTAACAGACAATGGCCATCAATTGTCTATTCGTTCAGTTTTGCAAACGGCATTATTTTATCGCTATTGTGACCTTAACAGTCACGGGAAAAAAACGGGGGAAATTAAAGTTAGCCTGTTCTTTTTTTATTCAAAAAACATGTACGTGTCTAAGTGTAATTTTGGGGCTTTTTAATTTCACCGTGTCAAATACTTCATTAACTCGCATTCTGTTTCAGAGCCTTGCTTCGGAGACAGTTGAGCAAGGCCAGCGGCTCTAACAGACGGCTTTGGTTAAGGCTGCGCTCGGAATGAGACATGTCAGAAGCGCCGGACAGCAGACATAGCGAAGTACGAGGGTGAGCCGTTACCTTTCTTGGGGTTCTCTTCGAATGAATTGCCCATCTTTGAGTCTTTCGTGATATCCGTTTCCAAGAAAGTTTTGCCATAAAAGGCAGCGGCGAAGTTCAGCGAGGAGCCTTTGCTGCCTTTGCACGGGGGCACGTCGTCGCTGAAGAGGGAGGCTCCGGGTGGCATCTCGCCGTAAGGCTCCTGCTTAAACTTCGCCAGCATGCAGGCGGAGGAGGAGAGTGCGGTGTCCAGCCGGGACGAGATCTCCAGAGAGGCCATTTCCTCTTGGTTCTGCTCGAGGTTCAAAATATCCTTCACAGAAAAGGGGGTAGAAGTCAGGGGGCTGGGAAACATGGCCAGGAAGCACTTAATTAATGCGCCCGGCAACAAATTGGTGAACCTGTTTGCGATATCGCCTCCTCCCTGGAACAGCTCTATCCACTAAACCAAAGCGCTCTCTTGTGCTGTAAGGGGGCTCTTAAGAAAAGTGCTCATCTTTTTCCACGAGCCCTGTCTCCGAGTTGTGGGGGTCTGTGATAGCTTGGCCACTGGCCTGAGAGACGCGTAGGAGGGGCTATGGGACCCAATACAAGCGCGTTGAAGATTCCCATTGGCTTTGGGTGAGTCGGTGACGTGCCAGTGTTAGATTTACAGGTGACCTTAAAAGTATATGCATCAAACATCGCCACGCGAGTTAAAGGGACAGAAGAGACACTTCACTGCGTATATACCTATCTGTATCCAGATGCACTTGACTGATTTTCGTCCCTCATTGCTACAATGTTGTGCTTTGCAATACAGTCATCATCATTTATGAAACCTGTCATATTACGTTTACTTATCACATTTATGCACTCTAAATAAACTCTTCAACAAGTTCCACCCTCTGTTTTTTTCGCCTGTCCGTGTCCACTTCAATGGCAATTCACCCTTTTCAGTGTCAACCCAGTTTGTATCTCCATTACAGTAGTTCTGTCGACCCCATTCCATTCACATACTGCGCCACCGTGATCACAGCCCACACCTGCTCTCAAAGACGTTTGCGAACGCAGCTCAAGGTATTTTTCAGTGATAGTACTGTGCGCTCAGGTACCACCCAAATCTGAGAAAATTGTCCTCGCAAAGACAGTGACGCCCGAGAAACCGGTGTCGTGATTTTTTAAATTAGCAAATGGCGTCTGCATGAAAGTCCGAAAGTGACAAAAGTATCCGAGTCTACGTTCACCCCGTGTGAAGTCAATGGAGCTCTCAAAAGCATAGACCTGTGTGTTTGGAGGTTATCAGTGAAACAGTCAAATTGTAGAGCGCACTTCTGTGCACACGTGTGGTGGCTGTTTTTAGGAAAGAAAGCATTTTGATTTGGGAAATTAAGGTGTAACGACGTGGATAACCTTTTTTCCTATAGGTTTCCTATAGACAAAATTGTATTTTATCGCGTGTGGTATTTGCCCTCTCGAGATGAAAAGCTATAAAAGTGAATCCGCTGTGCTGTCCCTGGGAGGGAGGGGGTTCTGGAAGTTTGTTTACGCTCAGGGGAAATGAAGCAGACAGTGGATAGAGAGGAAGGGGATCTATCCTGGGAGACAACAGGTTGGCGCTTCTGGGAATTCTGGGAATCCGAAACCAGTAGCTGCGCACTCAAACTGTCACTGAAAGATCCGGGAGCCACAGCTTTAATGATCAAGACGTGATAACAGATAAAAACAAACCGACCTTCAAGCTGGAGTAAGTATTTACCAGCGTCTTTATAATATCGAAGGCCGTCAAGTTGACACATTTAATGTAAAACGATAACGCCTGCGCTTAATGCAATCCGCTTTAATATGTCACGTTGGAACATTTATACTGACTGATTCGAAGGTTTGGATTATTCTTTGCTTCAGATGTTGTTGTTTTAATTTAAAGTTCTGAAACTCTTAGATTAGGGCCTCCCCTCATTAAATACACGCCTGTTGACAAACACTTCTGTACTAGAACATAGAATCGACGCCGATTTCTATTATTGCAACATTTAAAAACGACAAATCCTGAATAATAAATTCCGCATGAATGCACATCACGAAGTTGACCATTTAGACATACTGTACTTAAAGAGAAAGCAAAATTACATAATTTCTAACTTGACGAGATTTCATTTAAATCCAAATGTATTTTTCTGCAGCTGTAGCTTCACGTCGAATTGTTTTGTTTTCCGATCGTTTTGGGGATGAACTGATTCTGTAAAACCAAAATAATTAACTGTTCAGAAGAAATTAAAAAAATATTATCTTTCAGACAGCTTTATTTCATGACGACACTGGAAACTGATAGGTCACGGCGGACAACAGAATCTTTAATATACATATACAACAATATTCTGTATCTGTGAAATGAATTACAGACTTTCCTTATTCGTGGGAGTGTGCAAACCCTAGTTTGCTTAATTTGTAGAGCGTTGTTAATTTTGAAAGACTCCTGAGACAAGTACAGATATATCTTCTTTAAAGTTTATTGTCCTGTGCTACATCATTGCCTCCATCACGGAAACAGTGATGAGCGTGGGGTCTGTTAAGGAATTAGGGGAGAATCAAGAAACGTCCGGCAGCAACAGTTTTCATAATCAGTACCATAGATGTTTACAAAACACGACAATACTTCCTCTTTATTTAACGTATTTGTTATTAACGCGCGTGTTATTATGTTGTCTGTTATTGTGGGTGTTATGTATGTTTAATAATATGGAAATAATTACTGTTTCCAAACCAGTAATAATTTGCGTAAAACGACGTAGTTGAACACGGTCTTTTTTAAATCCTCTAAATGGATTATATTTCTATGATATATCCACATTATTGTTGTTCATTCTTATAGCATGCATGGCTACGTTCGTCACCCTTAATTTAAAACATACCAAAAATAAAAAGACTAACCGGGGAACAACTCTGTGCGGGGACATGAAGAAGATGAGCCGGCAGATGAAGACCTGTGACAAGGCCCGAACCGGCACTCCTGCAGTATTTTCCCCCTGAGCTCTTAATGACTTAATTGAAACAATTATTGACCAATTTGTCACGTTTCCCACAGTCTCGTGATCTTCATTCACTGAGGATTTGAAGTTCTCCGCTGAACCTACAGGGTCGCCACTCGCTGGTAGCAGGACACAGTATTTAGAGTTTATTAAGCCTCCTTCCCTTGCTGAAAGAAAAAGAGGGGGAAAAAAAACCTCATCAATCATACTGAGAAAAACCAGTTTCCACGGACTCTACTGATTGTTTACTTTTTGTTCGCCAATTATTGCTCCAGTGACCCCGCTTGTTGATTCAGTAGTCCCAAAAAGTGCTATCCTTCATTTATCAGAGAAGTCAATCCCTGCGCCTCTACTGCCGAATATTCCTTTAAAACTATAAACACCAACTCCTGGGCAGAGACAAAAGACCCATTTGTTCCTCCACAACAGTGCTAAACGTGATGTATTGTTAAAGATAAAACTAATGATAATACTGTCTGTCTCCAATAACTGTCTCCACAAGCATTAATGACATCTTTAATGCGACTTAAGCTCACCTCTCAGTGTATATATTACACTATGCCAAACTCGGTCTCGCTCCACTGTGAACGCTTACACTAATTAAATAACCACAGATCTCCCCAACAGGTAATTATCTGAATATCACTAACTACGCAATGAAGTTAAATAATTTGAAGATGACAAATGTCGAATTCGTTGCTCACTGGTGTTCTGTAATGTGCGATTAAGGGAAGCAGTCTTCCTTTCGTTTCACAATCTTGCGAAGTTAATTCGAAGTTTAATTTTATATTACATTTAGCTAAACTGGGTTTATTGGAGCTGACCGTTGATCCGGTGGTTTTCTACAATATTCAATACTGTAGTATCACGTTAACTCCGGCAATCCGCGTCCTGAATGCGCTTGTTCAGTACCACTTTGCCGTTGTAATAAAAATCAATCAGTCCCCATGTATATTTTTGAATATATATTCGTTTGGAACGAATTTAATAGTATATTGATGAAAGGCACGAAATGCACGAACGGGACTCGTTTAATAACTGAATTCTACATAACAGTCTCGAGCTATTTTTACAAATCTCTGAAACCAAATTCGGAAAACCAATCCATGCCTTAAATGGTCTGTTTCCGATTGTACTCTTCGGCGTTTGCATTTTTCACAAAATACTGGGAATATTTTTTTTTTCTGACCGTCGTAATTTATCTTTCTGTAATTAATTTCTGGTACTCTTTTCTCTGGTTGAATGGACTGCTAACGCAAATATTAGGTCAAATAATATAGCGTGTATACCTAAATAGATAGCAAAATATATTTATTGAGGTATTTGAATCTCCCGTCATCAGATTTAAAACCTTAAGGTTGTCCGGAGATTGTAAATTGTGGTACCTTGTCACTTGCACAACTCCTCTTTCTGCAGCACATTTCCAGAGAGCAGATAAAAGAGATAGATAGTGATTCTTAAAAACTTCCTGTCCGACGGGCTGTTGTGGATATTATCGGCTAAGAGGGCGAAATGGTCTGAGGTATTTTATCTGTCCTTGTCTGCGGCCGTTCCCTGCTGCTGCGGCCGGGCCAGACGCCACGCGCATTAGGACCGGGGCTGGCGTCTTTCCGCTCTCCTCAGCCCCTGTCAGTCAACTGCTCTCACAGGCACCGCTGTTTTACACCTCGCCTAATGGAAACTAATTACAATGGCCCGAAATAGCGCCAAGGAGCCGCAGAATTAATCACCTCGATACACTACACCTCACTGAACACACCGCTCTGTTAACAGCATACAGCCGCATATTTTTGTAAATGTCTGTAGAAACAGATTAGCTCCAGCCGCGAAGCCCGTTCTCGTGTAGGTAAGGCTTCAACGATATTTAATCAATATAAATTGGTTAAATACGTGTTAGTTTCGAATGTACTTAAATATGTCTGTGGTTTTTTCGAATAATTTCCAGTTTGGAGCTCCCGTTTCACTACTTTAAAACCACTGATAAGAAGAACATCAATAAAAGTAATGCCCAATTGTGTTGTTTCAATCTTTTTTTCCCTTTTATGGGCTATTCTGGTTGTATATGCTAGTTATGCAGGATAATCGACATAGTTTATAGTGTCTTCTGTAGAATTACGCCAATAATTGTGTGCAATATTTGAGACTACCGTTATAACGTGTAAGTCAATTATTCGATTTTTGTATCACAAAATATTACTAGCGATCTGGCGGGATGTAATTTAACCGTAATATTAACCACATCTATTTACATATGACTTTAAATGTGTTAGTATCAAATGGAAAGTTTATTTTTAGTAGTATTGATGTTCTTATTGTTATTATTATTCTTGTTTTGTAGTTTTGTGTTTCATTTCCATTTATTTGCTCTTTTTCAATAAATGATATGTAAAAATTGCGAAAACAATTTGAATTTGGTGTCAATATTTTTTTAAATATAAACTACAAATAGAAAAGCGCTCACCGGGGTAAAAACAAACAAACATTTAACTAACGATACTATGAAAACTGTGTTGTTCTTTTCAAATAGTTTTCTACTGATTTTCAGTGTGCTGTATATATATAGGCCGAAGACAAATTGTTTTAGAAGGAAGCAGGTTTAAAAACATTCGATAATTCTGTTTCAACTCAAACTGAAAACAAGTTTTAGTTTTGAAGTTGTTAACTGCTACTATTCCCTGTATCCTGAAAAACGCGTAACTATAAAAAATAAAATTGAATAATTGTTTCGATAGGAATTTTACGTGTCTTTATTTTTTTTATCAATGAAAGAGCTGGAAATTTATTCTCAACATAAGCCTATTAAGACATACAATATACTCCTGAGTATGTTTTGGAAAAACGTCTTGAGAAAATCTTTACTTATGGTCTAAACAGGGACTTCAACGAATAGACTGGACTACAAAATAGAATAGAATCTAATTACTTGAAACAGTATTTATTTCATTTATTTCATAACGAACATTATTATTGTTACTGTTATTATTATTATAATAATCACCATTATTATTATTATTATTATTATCGTCGTCAATGGGGTATTTTAGAGTGACTTAAAACGTGATTCCTT